TAGGAATGAATCATCACTCATACCTGAAATATGGAAAATAATACTACCAATCAAATCAAGTGAAAATCAAGTGAAAAAACAACGGAACTATATAAATGAATTTAGGAAGTCGTGTGATTAACTTGATATAATTATGAGCAATAAATTGTGGTCGAAACGTCATCAGTAAATATTACTGTATAACACTGTGAGACTCTATCAAAATAAAAATAACCCATAATGGAATTACACTCTACCACAATGCCCAAGTTTTATTCTTATATCAAAGTTCAATCCAGTTGATGATATTTTCACCCCTTATGTTTTCTTTTACTTACCCCATATTCTTACATCATCTTCCTACGTGCTATTTGTGACCTTGACCTATAAACAATTTGACCTATATCGTAATCATTTACGCTCTGTTGTCTTTTATATAAATGTTTATAACAAGTACTCCTGTGTGTGTGTGTCGGTTAGAATGTCCGAAATGTGTTGCGCAAATATACATTACACGTTTCAGATAAACTACGTCTTCTTGTTGTTCTGTTGACAAAGTGTGTGTGTGTGTACAGGCCTAAAGAGAATCAGTCATCTCTGGAAATTCAAACATCAAATGGCTTATTGATACCATGGAAGATGTGACTACTACTATCGAATAATTTCCCACAGAATGTGATTTGTAGATTGCTTAGTTTAGGAATAAATTCCATTACTGTCCTATTATGTCAATGAGTGGTACAGCAATACAAGCTCGCGAATTACTAATACATGTCATACATCTGTAATGACCAAACCCAATGCCTGGAACGCTGGAAAGAGCACTATGAGGAGCAGTTTAATTGGCCTACAACTACACTTAACCTGCCGAACATCCAACACCTCCCTGAGTGGAATATAGACACAGGTCCACCATCCCTAAATAAGGCTACTAAGACTGTCGCTAGCCTGAAAAGAGGCAAATCTGGGGGACCCAATGGAATGACTCCTGAGGTACTTAATTACGGTGGAGACAGTTTACCTACCTGCGTTAACTAAGGTATTAGGCAGCGACTGGGAATCAGACGAAGTCCCATCGGGTTGGTGTAAGTCACTGATCATCCCGATATACAAGAAGGGAGACAAGTCTTCTTGTGATAATCACAGAGGGATTAGCTTGACTAATATAGTATCTAAAGTCCTAGGCTCAATAATATTGCGTAGACTGAGTGGTGCTCGGGAAGCGCAAACACAAGAAAACCAGGCCAGGAAGAGGGTGTATTGATCATATCTTCACCCTCCGACAGATTCTGGAACATAGGCATTCTTACCGGCACCCAACAATCATTATATTTCTTGACCTAAAGGCGGCATTCGATTCTGTCGACCGGGAGGTTCTCTGACGATGCTTGGCTGTGAAGGGAATACCGAGAAAACACATTGCACTGATTAAGGCACTCTACTCGTACTCATGCAGCTAGGTGAGGGCTTACGGCGAGTTATCATTTGAAGTAGTGACGACTAGTGGCGTCCGTCAGGGATGCCCATTATCCCCATTTCTATTCAACTTCATCATAGATGTACTAATGGACTTAACCCAAACTCACTTCAGCGACTCAGGGATTGACTTGCTACCAGGGGATAATCTCGTTGACTTAGAATATGCGGACGATATAGTCCTTCTAGGCGAGGACACTGACAAAATGCAGAGTCTACTGAACACCTTGAGCTGCAATCTACGAATGTTTGGCTTGCGATTCGCTCCCGCCAAATACATGATGTTACAGGATTGGATTACACCGACTCCTAGATTAAAAATAGGAAGTGAAGTGGTAGAGCACGTTGACCGCTTCACGTACTTGGGAAGTACCATCAGCCCCAACGGGTTGATCTCCGACGAAATCTCAGCACGAATACAGAGGGCTAGGTTAGCATATGCAAGTTTACGCCGTCTCTGGCGTAGACGTGACACCCGACTATCGACCAAAGGGCGTGTGTACTGCTCAGCAGTCCGCTCCATCCTCCTTTATGGTAGTGAGACCTGGCCATTGAGAGTGGAAGACATGAAAAGATTAGCTGTCTTCGATCATAGGTGTCTGCGTTCTATCTCCCGTTTGAAGTGGTATAATAAGGTGAGCAATATTGAGGTTAGGCATCGAGGCTGTAAAGCCACATCGACTGAGATGGTTAGGACATGTGCTACGTATGCCTAGTTATCGCCTTCCTCGACAATGGGCAATGTTAGCTGATATAGGGTTAAGGTGGAAAAGAGCTAGCGGCAGTCAAACGAAAACATGGCACCAGTCAATGAAATCTACAACAGTTAGTCTAAGCCAGCCACGTAGGAAGGTGTAGACTTCCTGACTGGTTGGGGTCCTCAGGACGGTAAAAACCAATGGTTGGAAACAATTGATGACATGGCTCAAAATCGTTCTCAGTGGCTGGTGCAGATGCATCCACGCCTTGTGACTTATGATTTCCTATGAAACTGTTTTGTTCTTCGTTATTATTACTATTCCTTTGTCTCACACCTCTGTTTACTGTGTTTATTATGCATTTCTCCTACTTTCTTCTCTTGCTTTGTGTGCTAAATGGAGGGAGTGTGGCGACTTGAACTGCCGCACATATTTGCAAAGTTCTATGTCGAAAACAGACAGACAGACAGCAATACAAGCTCGCGAATTACTAATACATGTCATACATCTGTAATGATCAAAGCCAATGTGTTGTAGTCTGAAAGCTGGAAACCAGTCTTCGGATACTACTGTACTATAGCTAAACAAAACTTACTTGAGTGACGCACAGTCCCAAATTACCCCGATGACGGTCACACAAAAATCATGAATTAGTTATAAGTCGGGTCCCAGTAGCTAAATGGTCTACGAGTCTATCGTGTTAGCGGAAGATCCTGGATTCAAACCCCTGTCGTGGGTGCGTACTAATGAGAAGTCACAAACTAGGACGAAACGGTTGTTCACTACTCTCTGGTTCTCTAACTGGCATCACTCCGTGATCAAACTGGAAGCAAATCAAATCACTAAAAACTAACTGTTTGAAAAAAGACAATTAATTATGATAAAATCTGTGTCCACCAAGTTGTATTCTAGTCACGTAGGGGGGAGGCCATGCTAAAATAAACCTCCGAAGAACCAACATTCACACAGGGATCATCACTATTTGTTGCAGTCTTAATCTTGGACCCAGAACCAGATTCAGAGCTACGTAATCGTCTATTAAGTGCCACAACAAGACAGTTTAGCCCCTACTGACACAAGCTCACAATGATGAGAACTTCGTTTATCCTTCTTCCCGATCTCAATATCAGAAGTGAGAACATGAGCAACAACCCGACGACTCCTCAAAGATTTCGTACCAAAATTCTCAGGGGATAGATACTATAACAGAAGTAGAAAAAGCATAACTACCACCATTCTGCAGCGGGCGCTTGATTTCTTCTGATTCCAGGTGATGCCTTGAACGCACACTAAAGGTTTCAAAAACTTCATCAAACTCTTCCTACTAGGGATCGTAAACATGAGTACTCCTCAAAGAACCCTCAATCTTCCAAGGCAGAGTGTGGGACCGTAAGGTGAATAACCAACAAGTCCCTTCGTATCCGACTCCTCAGCCAAAAAAATCACTAGAACCAGTAAGACCACCAACATCAGCCATCGATACCGGTGACAATCTCGTCCCCAGTGTTATACTCTACTAATATAGCTATGACTTGACGAGTTTCCAAAAGTTGCAGTTCACAGTATGTAGAATACTTACGTCACACGATTCTTCGCCTCCCTTCCCAGTAAAGCAAACAGTGGGATACCAGTTACATACATAGCAGTCCACTGCGCCATCTAAGTGCAAAGTACTGTTACAAGATTGGCAGGAGCCTGTACCTGCATTCACTTTTGTAGGTGAACCACTTGATGATGTCGATAAACTCGTGTATCTGGGTAGTTGTGTGACTACTGGCAGAGGTCTGATGGACGAGATTCCCAACTGTATCATGAAATCTGAGGTGGCATACGCTAATTTGAACCACCTCTGGCGTTGACGCAACCTTAGACTGGTTGTCAAAAATCGAGCTTACAGTTACTCGGTGAACGCTGTCTTGCTCTACACCCATAAAAACACCTAACCTCTCCAAGGTGACGATGTGCGGCAACTGTACGTATTCGACTATCGCTGTCTCTGTTGAATTACTTGCGTTCGATGGAATCATCGTGTCAAAAATTCGGAAGTCCAGCACCATGACAGTTGAGTGTCATAACCTGAAAACACCGGCTTCGGTGGCTTGGACATGTGCTAGTAATGTAATCGCACACTAATCCGTACCGGTCTACGTTCACTAGTCCTGGGATGGGATGGAAAAAGCGGAGAGATAGTCAGCCAGTCTATGACATGGCATCAGTTGGTGCGCGTCTGTCCAACAATCACTCGACGACAACAGAAACTCTGTATCTGTATTCATGGACACGTACATTCCCGATAATACACTCAGCAGTGCAAAAGCAGTGATACCTATGTTCCAAAGCAATCAAGCAAGTAATCAATCACTCAAGTAAAGAAGATGAGGGGATGAGGATGACTTATACACATGAATAATTTATATTTATTTCATAAATGTTAATAGAATCTTTAAAAATGGTTATTTCTTAACAATAAAAAATGGAACAAGTTGTGCACATAAAAACCCGATAAACACACACACACACACACTTCTGTACAGCGAATTCAATGTGGAAGAGAAGGGAGCAAGAGGTAAGACGTCGGGGAGCGGGGGAGGGAGGGAGTAGGATTCTTCGAAAAAGAAGAGTATTCCAAATGAGAAAAAGAAGAATAGTAAAATGCTTTCGTGACATACATGCATAGTTAAGATCAATAATAATAATTATTATTATAGGAGTAATAATAATAATAACAATAATAGTAATAATAATAGTTATAATGGTTATTGTAATCATACTATGCGATAACAATGGCGATGATGGTAACCGGCAATGACAGTTCAGTTAGATATTAGACCAGAGTGCTGCTTTTTCTTATCGATGTTTATGCTTCTTCTTCGGTGAATCATGACGAGATTTCTTCTTTGCAGCTGGTGATGGACTACGACCATGTGGACGCTTTTTAGGAGCAACCTCTTCAATTAGAGCATTTTTAGCATCCTCTGTTAGACAGGGAGGAAAAGACAAGAAATAAACAAACAATGTACAGAGTTTTATGTTAAGGAATAAGTAAATGATTATTGCTCAACATACTTTGTGTGAAGTTTGAGGTTAGCCATCTTCGACGCTCTATCTCTCGTTCTAAGTAGTATAATATGATGGGTAACATCGAGATTCGGTGGAGTTTTATGGTACGCATGTTAGCTTACATGTTACACGATCGACAACTGCTAGCTACCTTGTTGTCGTGATGGTCAGGCTTGAATACTGCCACGACTTAACAAGCTACACTGACTGGGACTTGTGTTCCTGCAGGTCCTACCATACACATACCGGGATGGTGGTTGTCTGGATAGTGGTTAGACTAAAAGCAGTTACTATGAGCCACAGGGGTTCCAGAATCCAAACGGACATAATGGCGTACAAACATCTATTGGTCACCGGCAACCATGGGGAGGCAGCTCCACTGCCTTGCGGATGAGATACCAAGTCAAAGGTTCGGGGGGTGGTCCCTTAAGACAACCACCTGTTTCGGTCTTGGCGTCCAGGCAGTATCTCAGCCCTCACGCAATCAATGAAATGAAACAATAAACTATCAGTGGAACTTATTGCACGCTCCTATCAATGCTCTCGAACAACAATAATAATGCTTCAAGTAACACATCTCTTCCCAACCTTATTTTTATTTTTAGACATATACTCCTGTTTTACTTTAGCTGTCTTTGGCGTCTTCACTTTCTTCAGAAATTGATCTTTGTTTCAATTACTAGTCTACTTGTGCCATTTCGAGATGTTAGTGAGTAGCCTTCAAAATGTCTGTCCCCCAGTGCAACACCTAACACAGATATCCTGAAACCGCGTGCCGCTTTCAAACTTCCCAACTACAATATCCGGATACTGATGCAAATCGGAGACAACAGGCAGGTCTGGTGAGAACAATAGAAAGCCTCACTATCGATGTCTGCTGCATTTTGAAGGCCCACATTCAAGATCCCAGTGAAGTCCTGGGAATATCTTTTCTATCTGAAAGTTGGAATAGTATGTACCACCTGCGCTTATCCAGGGCGCTAGAGGCGAGGCTGCATTACTCGACTGGATCCCCAACGACAGTCATTTATGTGCTGTGAGACTTGAAGATTATACAAGAGTAAGAAGCGGTAGGCCAGATAGGCAGTCCCTATTTGTTGTCTCAACCTATGCGCCGACGGATTGCAACCCGGGATGAAATTAAGGATGTGTTTTACAACCAATTGGGCGATGTCATGAAACAGGCGTGTCAGAGGGATATCGTAGTGCTGGTTGGGGACTTGAATGCGTAGGTTGGGCCTTTAGACGCAGATAAGAACTATCTACGTGGTCAGTTGGGATTACATGGTCACAGGTAAGATAACGGGGACCGTCTTCTGAAGCTTTGCGCAGATCTAAGACGAAACATCTGTTCAGTGGTTCCTAGTACCCATGACGTGGCGTCGTGGGATGAAGGATTTCTGTGGTAGATTAGCATCGGTTGGTGTGTCACTACTCCCTGGTTGGGGTCTGAGAGATAGCTCAAATCGATGGCTCGAAACGTTATCGGATATGGCCAAGAATCGTAATCAATGGCGAATGTGTTGCGACTTCCTTCTTTCTTCCATTCCCGATGATAGTTAACGAACACTGTTTGAACCTGTTAAGAATGAGTGTTTTCCTTCCAGATGAAGTTCTTTATTCGTTCTCTACTTATATATATTTTTTCTTTTCCTGCCTTCCTTCCTTTTTTTCATCTATGTTGTTTTATTATTATTGTGTGGCGCATCCTTCTTGGTGCCATATTGTACCAAGTTTTAATGCGTTTAAATAAAATGAATAAAAGTACCCTCATTGACATAAATCCGTGATCAAACTTGAATCCATCAAGTTTCTGACTGTTAGTTATTCAGTAACGTACGGATGTGTACAGTGCCTGACTGTGGTTCTCGAGATGCTACGAATCAATGGTTACAGATTATGATATGGTTTGAAAATCGTTTCCACTGATTTCACGTATTTGTCATCAGATACATTCTGAAACTTTTCACTGATCTACATTATTTAATTATTTTCTTCCTTGTACACAGGCGGAACTGACGAGGATATCAAAGCAAGAATCGGAAAAGCAAAACAAGCTTTTACTACTCTCAAGTCTGTGTGGAAATCAACAGCACTCAGCATCAAAAATAAGATCAGGAGTTTCAACTCCAATGTGAAGTCAGTGCTACTATACGGACCAGGCATTTGGCGCGTCACGAAGCCCACTTCGAACTACTACTACAGACCTTTATCATCAGCTGTCTTCGCTCAATACTACTCAAGATCAGATGCCGGCCAGAAAAGATCAGTAACAGAGATCTCTGGCAATGAACGAACCAACACAGCAGGAACCAACCGATTGTGAAATAAATAGGCAGGAAGAAATGGAGATGGATTGGCCATACTCTGAGGAAACCATCAAGTGACATCACTAGACAAGCCATTGCTGGTGCAAGGGTGACTTGGAGGAGGTCATGTGAAGAGGAGATGAAAACGTGTGGGCTGACGTGGAGCCAGGTGAAGACTCTAGCAGAGAACCGATCGCAATGGAGACGCACGGCTGAAGTCCTATGTTCCTCTAGGAATTCAAGGAAACGATAATAATAATAATATTATAATAATAATAATAATAATACACATTTGCCTATTGTAATTTCACAGCCAAATGGTGTGTTGAAACAAGTTTTTATTAACGTGAAAGGATTCTAGGCTTTTGGGAGGAGCAATCGCCGTATAATATGATTTTTATTTATTTATTATTTTAATCTTCTGTGTTCCGAGTGACTTCAAGCTCCATACCGAAGTTTCCCCCATTCCAGGTTTACTTTATCAGATAAGCGATGCTTAGGAGTGTGTTGGCCAGGGATCGAAACCCGGACTACTAACAGCGTAAGTTGGCGAGCATTCCACCGCTGGACCACCACAATATATACATCCGACTTTCGGAAACTCAGTAATACACACACCTACGCTTACTTTCTCATGGAGATAAGTACAAAGTCTTACAAAGGAAGAATTTATCCCTAAGGAAGACAAAATCAAAGCATAACTCACATTACTTTAAATAAGTTCAAAATTGTAACAAACAAACAAACAAACCTTTTCTAGCCTCCTCTTCTAATTCATCCCAATCTTTGCCTTCTGATTCATCTGAATCTAAACTCTCTGGTTCATCTGAGTCCTCTTCAGCTTCCCAATCTTCATCATCATCGCCTTCTTCACTGGAAGACGCTGCACCACTGCCGTCTTCTTCACCATCCCCTGACAATTCACTTTCTGATGGAGCATAATTTTCATCATCATCCTCTGTGTCTTCTTCATCTTCATCATCATCCTTTTCATAGGAAAAGAGAAATAAGTAAGAAAAAAATGAAATTAAATGAGTAACGACGAGAATTATTATATTATTATTATTATTATTGTTCCCTTGGGTTCCTAGTGGAACATAGGACCTCCAAAGCCTCAGGATGGTCGGGGTGGGTGCCTGGCGCTGCGGGTTGGCCACCCCTCCGCACACCTCTTGAAATGCTCCCATATGACCGGCGTCTTACATAGCCTCTCCTGAGGAAGTCCTACTCACTGCCTTCACGTGGCGGAGGTGTTTTTTTCACCAAAGTGAGAGGGCGAAAGCGGATGTCCAGCGCTCTTCACCGGGTTGACTGTTCATTGGATGACAGTCTAGGGGAGATGGCTAAACCCTGATTCCAAACCTCCAACGACCGGCGTATGAAGCTCACTGGAACTCACCGGTAGACGTATGGACAAAGGGCTTGTTGGATGTCCTGGATGTCTGGCCCCATTCAAAAAGGCGTATGAACCGAACTCCGGTCACCGGCTTCCAATGGATAGTGGACTCCCTACTCCACTCCTACTGCCTTGTAGGTCACACTTGGTTGTGTAAAGGCTAGAGCTGCACTCTCAAACAAAAGGCCGAGCGATTCTGGGGACATCACTAGTACCAAATTCCCATGAAGCTTCATGAACTCTCTTACAATAGATTCTCACCATGATAACCCTGTCGCTAAACCTTGCATCAGATCGCCGCGCCTGGGCAGCGATGATTCGAGATGTTCATGAAGCTGGCTCATCCTCCCGTAGGAGATAGCCGAAGTAAAGTAAAGTATAGTGCTTCAACTGCACGCCTCAACTTGCTTCTGTCTTCTGCTGTACTTTTCACTTGCATCCATGTTAATCCATGCTGTTTCAACTCCTCTTCACACGATCTCCTCCATGTCACCCTTGGACGTCCCACTCGCCGCTTCCCTTTCGGGTTCCACTCGAGCAATGGCCTGATTGACGAGCGATGTCACCCACCCAACGGCCTCCTCAGCGAGTGACCAATCCATCTCCACTTCTTTCTCCTGCATATTTGTTCAGCGATTGGTTCTTGTTTTGTTTCTGCCCATAGTTTCTTGTTGATGATTCTTTCCGGCCATCTGATCTTCACTATAGTGCGAAGACAGTTATTAATGAAGTTCCGCAACCTGTTGGAAATATTCTTGGTGACCCGCCAAGTTTCTGATCCATATAGAAGAACTGACTTGACGTTCAGTTAACGACGAAAAGAGGTAGAGAAATTCTCTATGAGGACTCAAGTCTTTCATAAGTCTGTGAAATGAGCCATTTTCTGAAGATGAGATGGGCAGGGATTGAAAAAAGGATCGAATAGCTGAAAGTTGATGGCTTCAGAATATGAGTCGAATGTAGCACGATGCTACAGGGCTGGAACATATCAACTGACTTCGAGCTTAAAGATAGGCAGGAGTGAAGTGGTGGCAGAGCGTGTTCACCACTCCACTTATTTGAGAAGTTGCATCAGCCAGTGCCAGATGGTTGATCACTGACTAAATCTCACCACGGATACAGAAGGCTCATCTGGCATTTACAGCCAACTTACGCTCTCTCTGGCTTAGTAGACGTGATATCCAAATTGAGGTATGCGCTGACGATGTTGTCTAGTTGGGCAATGAAAACTTTGCAAACAAACTATCCAGCTCAGAGAACACAACTACATCAAAAGATGTGATATCCAGCGGGCTGACTGTCCACCAAAAGACGTGTGTACTGCTCACTAGTTCACTCCGTCCTCCTTTATGCCTGCCTATGAGTGAGACATGGACATTGAAAGTGGAAGACATGAAAAGCCTGGCTGGCTAGCTGTCTCTCACCATAGGTACCTGCGTTCCATCTCCCATGTTTGCTGGTATAACAGGATGAACAGTATTGGGGTTAGGCATCGGTTGAGTGTTAAGCAAGGAGGAAAAATCAATCAATCGACGCAGTTATGAAGTTACATCGATTGAAATGGTCGGGATATGTGCGTCACTAATACCAAACCATCGGCTTCCTTGACGGCCAATGTTAGCCACTAACACAGGATCAGATTGGAAAAGAGCTAGCACATGGTGGTCAAAAGAAAACAAATAGCTTCATCAGTCAATGAAATCCACAACAGTTTGTTTATGTCAGCCAGCTACGTAGGGAGGTGTAGATGCCACTAGTGAATTTGACGTATGGTAACACCAGTTCGCCCAAGTAGGTACCTCGTCAGAAATTGGGTGGTTTGAACTGATGATGAACTCATCCACCAACTTGGCGAAACGATCGTCCGGTGCGTAGATCTTGACCTGGCTAGGGAATACTTACTACTGGTCGTATACACCTACTCATCTCAATGAATCAATGAGTTTAATTCATATCAGAAAACAGATGGTATTAAATGATAATCACTACAAAAAAGGAAAGAGAACTCCTCATCGGGGGGATCAGATCAGTGTAAACATTAGCCACACACCTCCCCCCTCCACTTGTTAAACTATACATTAATTAATACACAAACATTACTGAAAGAAGGATGTGTGCATAACTCACTTCATCTGGTGAGACAAATGACCAACCGCCTTGTTCAACAAATCCTTCAGGATCATCAAGGATAGTTTTCATTAGTTTAGGCCAATTCAATGATTTAGTTGCTTCAGCATAAAAGATATCACATGATCTGGAGAGAGAAAAAAAGCGGAGTTAATTATCATATTTATCTTCTATTCCCCCTGTATATGAATACTATCCATGCAGGGTAGTAACTAGAAGGATAGTTAGTAATGATTTACACTAGCCAGTGTCCTTCAAAGTGCTGTTTCTTTCTTGTGTGCTTTATACTGATGAAGCCAATTTTGTTAAGTATACCAATGATGTGTATCTGACAGTTTTCATGCCGATCATTCGAAAATGAAGAGCTTTTTATCAGAAATCACCGGAAATATGAGACTGTTAGTTTCGCTTTCAGACACGACCACAACTTAAATGAATTGGTGTTCATTTCCACGTTTCCTCTGGGATCCAATTGGAACATAGAGCTTTAACAGCACATCTTCATTTTGTCCAACCCTCTTCAATCCTCCTTTAGTTGGCCGCACAATTGACCATAAGGTTTCATCTCCGCCATATTACCCTCAGACACATAACTCGTCGTTCCCTATTGGGATTCTACTCAAGTGTATGGTCTGGCGCACGATATCACCCTAAACAGTCTCCTCCTCAGAGTGTATCTGGTCCATCTTCACTTTTTATCGAAATACTCGTTGAGCAATGGGTTCCTGATTGGTTGCTAAGTGTTAAGAATTATGTATCTGATATTCGGTATGAAGCTAAGGCAACTGTTGATGAATGGCTTCACTAGCCTGTTGGAGATACTTTTCTTGAATGACTTTAACATCGGTGTTAAAAATCACACTTTAGTTCTCTGTACTGAGGTGCAGCGGAGTTCCACATTGATTTCAAAGTGATATATGTCTGCCTTGTCTTTCCAATACTAGCTGACTTAGACATCATCCATTATAACTCAGTTACTTGTTAGATCAGGCTATGAAACACATATATCCTACATATGGGCACTGATGATACTATACACAGCTGCTTAGACTTCATTAGACACCGAGAATAAGACTCGAATCTACGACCAATTGGTTAAAAAAAGTCGGTTGATTAGACCAATGATAACGTAAAATAAAAGCATCATTTTATATATTCACTTCCTATCCACCGCGCAATCGATGGAGGCCAATAATTTCTACAAAATGGAACCACCAACCAATGAACTTCAGATGGCGTAACCACAAACTGTGCCTTCTAATTCCGGTGAACCAAAATATCTCTGAATCCTTTCGAACTTAAATGTCGATTATGTTTCATTATGACTGGAAAAATCGTGTATAGATTAGGAATAGAACACAACATATTATAGGCCGCGGGAAGCGGGGGTGCGGGGTGTGACATAAAAAAATAGACAAAAATCGTTGTTACGAACACACTTACAGTAACCATTCTTTCACTAATTCCAATGCTGTACTAGGAATTGAATTGATCATAGCCGGTTTTTTATGATAATCTTTAAAGACGAATACCATATCAAAGGTACGAATCGATAGACTGACACGTTCCAACATAACAAACTCGACTTCATCCAAGGTGACAACAAATGCGGGCAATTCAACAACACTCATCAGTGCACTACTCGTCGGCATCATGAGTACAGTGGATCTAATGAACGTTGGGAAGAAGGAGAAGAGAGAAAAAGAAATATATATAGGTTCGGCATTAATTATGGCACAATATGTAAAACATTTTCTGAGATAAAAAGAAAGACAAATATTTTAGAGAAAATAAACACTACAGTTGTGTTCAAGCGTGGTTCGCCTGGATTTGATTGGTTACAGGATTTCATCATCCGCTTTCGCCCTCTCACTTTGGTGAAAAACACCTCCGCCACGTGAAGGCAGTGAGTAGGACTTCCTCAGGAGAGGCTATGTAAGACGCCCGGTCATATGGGAGCATTTCAAGAGGTGTGCGGAAGGGTGGCCAAGCCGCAGCGCAAGGCACCCACCCACCCCCGACCATCCTGAGGCTTTGGAAGTACGTCTGTCAGCTGAGTACTGAACCCCGGACCAGGTGCGGCGCGGTGAAGTTGTCGAGTATTCTATCACCACTGAACCACCCCCACAAAAAGACAACAATAATCGCCCGTATTAGAAGCAAACAAAGACACTGCATCACAATTCACTTACCGGAATGGACAACCATGAAAACCTAATTCACGGAATGGTATTTCAAATTCTAAATCATATCTTTTTGCTAAATTCTCCGATCGGTCAACAAATGATCGAAAGGCTAATTTAATTTGTTCACGCATTTCACGTTCCATTTGTTCAGCTTCCAAGTCATCACGATCTTGCATACGTGAATGTGTTTTACTCAAATCTGTAGTTAATTCACCAACTTCTGTATAGAATTGTATATCTGTATGCTTTTTCTTTCCATACATTATAGCATTCTAGAAAAGAGGAAAAATAGCGGTTAAAAATCAATACGTGCACACACACATGCATAAAACAATGAGGAGATATTGTGGTGACAGTTGTCTACAAGCCAAAAATTGTGGACAGCAATTTAAGTCACTTCTAACGTCCCGAATCGCCATCATGAGAAAAAACAATAGCAAAGCTTAACCTTGAGGAAATCACTAACCAATCACAGCAGACTCAACATGTGCAAATACGATTCGTAGACATATGGCTTAACTTCCTGAGAAACGGTCAGCAAGGAAACAACCAATCAGAAGACGTTGCTTGTTTTTCTCAATAAACGATCTGTTGCCTGACCCTTGTATTCCTGTCGTTACAATATAACTAGACAAGAGGAACAAATGAGCAGTATACATAGAAAAAAACAATTAACTCTCTATACAGTTAGATAAACCCAGAAACGCAAAAATAAACAGGATCTGATCTTTACCCATATGTGTGGCACCAATATCATCCTTGGGGCTCCCATACCACTCGCGCTATTCTCTACCCCTAAGACTGGATGAAAAAATGGAGTGGTCATAAACCAAAGACATGAGTCATGAGTGAGATGAAGGATATTTGTAGTCAGGTTAGCATCATTTGGTACGTACGCCACGACTCCCTCTCTGATAGGGTTTCAACAGATAGTTCGAATCGATGATTCGAAACGTTATGCGATATGACCAGGAATCGCAGCCAAAGAAGTAACATAGAGCGATAAATTCAGTTGGTGGATGGTGACTAGCAGTGGAATCCAGCCAAGATGCGGATTTCGTCATATTTAGGACTCGTCTTTCAGCCAGATGTACCTGCATTCCACAGTGAGTGGTGATGTTCCCATCACCGAGACTCTAACTCAGTGCACACAGTTTCAAACACCAAAGGATTATCCACTAGACCGCTTGGGTCACAAGAGCCACTTCTTGTGCAACGGGTCATATTAATTATCCAATTCAATTTTAGATTTTCCCGTCGATTGATTGGACCGAAGTGCTCGGTCTCAATTTGAAATGTCGGTTTCTTGTGCAGATGCTTCTAGTGGATAACGCTTTGGCGTTTGAAACTATGGGCCCTGGATTCGAGCCTCGGTGGGAACATCATCACACACTGTGGAATACAAGTACATCCAGCTGGAAGACCAGTTCCAAATAGGACGAAATGCACATCCTGGATTCCACTGCTAGTCACCATCCACCAAATAACCTCTAATTACATGCCCAGACATCGTCGAAGCATCTGCACAAGAAGCCGCCGACATGTCAACCTGAGACCGAGGACTTCGGTACAATCAATCGACGGGAATATCTAAAATTGAATTAAATAAAGTGATGAATGTTGAATAACCTTCACATAAATGCTTGCTTGCTTGATTTCTGGATGACGTAACTCATTCACTCTGTGTCTATTTTCTTAACATGTTGATTTGTAGTGCATCTCTTGGCTCCTATAATGTACCAAGTCTGTGTTTTAAATAAGTAGTGTTAGTAATGTGTTGATATCATTTGAAAAAGAAGCGTCTGTTATAACTCAATAAACTAGTGATGAATAGTCTTTTATAAGTTGATGCTAAACGAAGCGCGACATTCGAGTTACCAGGAGGACAGCAATATATTTCCTAAGTGAGTGTAAGACCAGGGGCATAAGGTCTTTCATATACCAACCTATTAAAAGCCTCACTACCACTCAGAGCTAGATGGAGTGGGATCCGAATCCGAGAGCATTCCTCTGATAATCTAGTATACTTAATCACGTGTGAAATAAGCCATACAATCTAAAAAGTCTTTGCTCACCTTTAAATGAAAATGCAATAGAATAATCATTTCACCATCACACGGTTGATAAAAGGCATGCTTGATATTATTATACAATATGTCAACTTGATCACCACGAACTGATGTGAAACGAAAACCATTTGAATGTGCCTCCAAGGTGCCTAATCAAATCAGATAATAATTATAAATAACGACAATATTAACAACAATGATTATAATAATAAGCATAATAACAACACCCAGAAACAAAACTACCTGCTGTGATACCGACAAAAAGCCACCGAGGCGTGCCGTTCTTCCAGCTCTACTCATCTACACGTGGAATACGAAGCAAACACGGTGGTTGCGATAGTGGTGGTTCTTTTTTTTCACAATACCTTGAGAGCATGGTGTATACAGTGTGTGACGGCAAGTGCTTCTACTTTGGGGGTGTCTTATACTTGTATAATTAAAAAGACGGTTGCAGCGAGGAGAATTTTCTTCTTTCGACGAAGTCATTAACTAGGCTGTAGTAAATTCGTTTACATATAAACAGTAAAGGGGTGAGAAGATTCTAGAACTGTTTCCGGGAGAAGGCGAGATTATAACAAATAAAGACAAGATAACAAACAGGGATTTTTTTATTTTTTATTTACAGCTTGATTCCACACCGTATTTTCAGTACAAGTGTGGAATTTTCAGCATGGATATCGGTAGCCCAAATTTACAGGCCGACCATAGATATCGGGTGTGCACCGGCAGGGGATCGAACCCCGGACCATGTGCATGGTCGGCGAGAGTCCTAACCACTGTGCCACCGACGTGTATGAGTAAGAAAAATAAACAAGAAGTTTAGATAAGAAACATATTCAGATAACCACTATTGAAACGATTGACTGTTTATGATGACCATCGTGGAGACAATGGGTTGGGACGTGTTTCTTTCGAATACGCTGTGTTGATATGGATTTCTGAGTCACTAATACTTCAGTTATACTTAACTGCCTTGACCTAAACACCCTTTGAGAGGTTTGATCGGATCTTAGATAGGACTTTAAAGGACTTCACGAAGGGTATTGAATATCCTGAGTTCACTAGATATTCTGTTACCGAACTATGTACACACACCTACGCTCTCCATTTGCTAACAAGGCTGAGTAGTTTTTTTGATTGCACACTAGTCAGTAACTAGTGTAATGCGTGTCTAATCCTATCTTTGGTGCAGACTGAATTCTATCAGTCATGCTTGCAATGTGGCCACCATGCTAGGTGGCTCACCATTACGGTGCGCTGTGAATTGTTGGTATTAGATGGTTGGAGGCAGTCGGCAGGAAGCCTGAATAGTATTCCAGAGGGTGTTCTACAAGTGGTAACAGAACACATTTGATGAATTAAAGACACTTAGATCCATTGGGAAAGTCTTTCAAAGTCGTACACAAGATCCGATCAAAACCTCTCAAAGACAGTGAGGATCAATACATCTGGGTATATATATAGCAGAAGCACTAGCAAACGAAAAATTCACACCTACGCTGTGCATTCAAAAGAAATACACATCCAACTTTTGTCTTTAACATGGCCATCATAAACAGTTACTTCTTTCATTAAAGATTATCTGATTACGTTTCTCGTCCAAACTTCTTGCCTGTTTTTGATATTTTTAACTCCTATTTTTGTAATCTTGTTGTTAATCGTTATAATTTGACTCTCAACCGGAAATAGTTCTGACTGACTGGTTTCAATGTAGAACTTCGCACAGATATGCAGCAGTTTGAGTTGCTACACGCCATGCAGCACACAAAGCAAGAGGAGAGAGTAAAGAGTTGAGAGAGTGAGAGGTAGTAATATGGAAGAACAACAGAATTTTACTGGATATGATAAACCATAAAGAAACAAAATAACTGAGTAAAGAATATTCTTTTCGATAATTTCCTCTCCTGCCTCTACAACTAATTTTTAATTTTTGATTATAGCTTGATTCCACACAATACTTTTGGTACAAGTATAGAATTTTCAGCAGATGGTATCGGTAGCCCAAATTTTGCAGGCCGACCATTGATATCAGGTGTGCGTCGGCCGGGGATCGAATCCCGGACCAAGTGCATGGTCGGCGAGAGTCATAACCGCTGTGCCACCGACGCACAGTTTATATGCATAGAATATTCTAGATTAGTAGTCAATAAGAATATTAGTGTTTTTTAAAATAATATCGATGCTTAAATTATAATAAAAAAGATATAGTAGCAAATAGAATATCAAATAAAATTAGAAAAATTCCACAAAAATTCAGCATCATTCAAACCTAGATGGCCAAGGTAAGGATAATGTCTTACTTACTTAACAAATCGATATTATTTAAAAAACAACAATTTTGTTATTGACTACTATTCTAGAGTATTCTATGTATATAAACATTATTTTGTTTTTTCCTAGATGTCTGGATGAATATTTTCGCTATATTGAAATCATAAAGAGTGAAGGCATCTCTGCCAGCCAACCAGCCATTGTCAATGACGATTTTGAACTAGCCATATCACCAATTGTCTCCAGTTTTCATTGGTTCTTACCATTCCAAAGACCTCAACCAGTCAAGAAGTCTACACCTCCCTACGTGGCTGGCTCGCTGGCATAAACTAACTGTTGTGAATTTCACTGACTGTTGAAGCTGTGTTTTCGTTTGACCATCACGTGCTAGCTCTTTTCTAACCTGATCCTGTGTTAGTGGCTAACTTTGTCCGTGGAGAAAGGCGACACAGGAAATACTTCTGGAACTTTCTCACCCCTTTACTGTATATATATATATATATATATGCCTCCAAAGCCTCAGGATGGTCGGAGGTGGGTGCCTTGCGCTGCGGGTTGGCCACCCCTCCGCACACCTCTTGAAATGCTCCCATATGACCGGACGTCTTACATAGCCTCTCCTGAGGAAGTCCTACTCACTGCCTTCACGTGGCGGAGGTGTTTTGTTTTCACCAAAGTGAGAGGGCGAAAGCGGATGCCCGGCGCTCTTCACCGGGTTGACTGTCCATTGGATGACAGTCTAGGGGAGATGGCTAAACCCTGACTCCAAACCTCCAACGACTGGCGTATGAAGCTCACTGGAGCTCACCGGCAGACGTATGGACAAAGGGCTTGTTGGATGTCCTGGATGTCTGGCCCCATTCAAAAAGGCGTATGAACCGAACTCCGGTCACCGGCTTCCAATGGATAGTGGACTCCCTACTCCACTCCTACTGCCTTGTTGTAGGTCACACTTAGTTGTGTAAAGGCTAGAGCTGCACTCTCAAACAAAAGGCGGAGTGGTTCTGGGGACATCACTCGTACCAAATTCCCATGAAACTTCGTAAACTCTCTTCATCAGATCGCTGCGCCTGGGTAGCGATGATTTGAGAAGTTCATGAAGCCGGCTCATCCTTCCGTAGGAGATAGCAGAAGCAAAGTAAAGTAAGTACATATATATATATATATATATATACGAATGCACAACCTAGTTGACAGTGACTTCGTCGGAAAGAAAATTCCTCTCTCCCACAACCATCTTTTTAATTTTCCCCTTATGATTGAATGTGTTAATCCTGAAATTTCCATAATGAAAGAATCAAAAGAATCTATACAAACTCAATTAATTTTATCTGATCGAATCACTGGGAGATGAAAACCACAGGAAATATAAGGGATAATATTAGTGACTTAATAAAGAGATTGTTATTCGAGTATAACTGCCAAAATTAATTTTATAAATTTTTGTTTTTAGTCTATTGCTTTCGATGAACACAATCTCATCTTTAACCTAACCTAGCACATTTGATCCTGATCAATAAGATTCATGTGCATCTATATAAAAGACAATCACGTTGACCACGATAATGACTGAGCATCGTTCATACTTCATTGCTACACCTATCTAGTACAAGGTATAAACACTGATTATTGGGCACAAGATACATGAAAGCTATTTTCTCTTTAATTACCATCTCATACAAGGCATAAACAGAGTCAATACAAAAAATTCAATTTTTAGATTTCATCAAGAGCCAGCTGTTTCGCCCTAGTTTGGGACTCTTCAACAGTCCTCACTCATGATACCATAAAGGATAGAACTCGAGACCTGTAAGTTATGAAACCAAGCTCTCTGACCATTACTCAACCATTTGGGCTGTAATTCAATAATGACCTGTGAATTTTAACTTTATCAACTCATGTGTGATATAGCGCTAGCCTCACCAGGGTGTCTTTGACGAATATCCACTTCACCTGCATTGCTGGTAGGGACATAGGTGAGCGTAGTGCTGAGGAGTCTCGACGTGGGAAGAGAAGGCTGTTCAGTGCTCCCTGGTTTTCATTAGAATCCAGTCACTCACAACAGACTGTTGGTGCACCAGGCTATTAGGACACTTGTTATGTGAGGGTAAAATGATCCTGCACCGGTGGCGCAGCGGTAGAAGGCTTGCCAACCACATCTCTTATGGTCCGGAGTTCGATCTCCGGCCGACGAGGTACTCCTTTACCTCGCTAAGCTAGTAATATGACTGGTAAAGAGGGAAGGTTGGACATGAGGCAAGCTACTCCACCCCGTAAAAATAAACACCGCTGTTACCGAAACTTCAAGCCTCTAGCTTGAAGGCCCTACGTTCCACTGGGGGGAACGTGAAGGAATTAAAACATAATAAGGATCCGAACGAAGAACTCACCGATCGGAAGCTGGACGCCTAAGCCTATGATGAACTAACCATACCTAATTCTATACACAACGTCGGTTTCATAAAACCACTAAAGTACTGATTCAATCAAAATGAGTAACACTGAGGTCATCATTACTGTGGTTGTATTTTTCAAATTACATTGAACACGGGTCACTGAATTTCGGTCTCATAAACTGAAGTTCCCAGGTTTGATCCCTGGTAAACGTAGGGGTGTGTATTGCTGAAGAGTCCCAAAATAGGACGAAACATCTGTCCAGTGTACTCCCTGATGATAATCTCTAATCTCTCTAACTGACGTTTGATTTGTGACGAAACCGAACAATCAATATTAAATTAATCCAAATATCCACAAATCCCAATTAAACCAAAAAAAAATATTCTAATTACCTGTTACACGTTTAGACGCCAAATTTGGACGAATATATAAATCTTTCAGGCGGAAAGCACCCTTTGCATGATCTACAACTAAGGCATCTTGTTCGACTAGATTAGCCCTTTCCTTTTCTTCAGCTTCACGTGAACGGAAACGTTTCAACACTTCTTTAATAATTCGATAAGCATTATTCAAATTAGTCGAAGGAATAGTCACTTCTCCATGTCGACGGATATTTGAAGCACGATAAGTCATTTCTTTGACATAAGTAGATTCAGGACTCTAAAATGCAAACATATTTATATGAATGGAGAAATAAAAGGATACTTTATCTAAATACAAAACAAAATTAATCTCAACATAAATTAGGCGTTATTGCATAACGTAATCAAGTGTGATAAGCACAAATTCAATAGAGTTTATTTGATATAAAATACAGTGATAAACAGTATTAATATAACTAGATAACGTTTTGAGCACAATTTATTGCTTCATAATCATATATCAGTATATATTCACGTGACTTTTAAATTTACTTCACGTATTCCTCGCATCCTACCCCTTCTATTATGTTGCAATTTTTTATTATGCGGTGTATAGGTGTATTTGGGTCACAGGATTTTCATCATGAGCTGATATCAGTTAGAGAACCATTGGAAAACCAACAGGGAGTACTGGACAGCTCTTTCGCCCTAGTTTGGGACTTTTCAACAGTACGCAGCCACCACAGGGGCTCGAACCCAGGACCTTCTGGTTACAAGGCTAGTGAGCTCGTATACCATTAAATCACTGGAACCCGATTCAATGGCCCATGAATTCTAATTTCTGCCAATTCACGACAGAGCGTGACCCCTAGCCAATGTCTTCGGCGAATATTTGTCCTCACACCCGACCTGCTGCACCCTACTGGTCACGATTTGGATTCTCAGTGTGTTCGGAGTGTTGCTACGATAAACAAAGATTCGGTGATTAATCTCTCCTTCTCTCTTTTTCTCTGCATCCAACTATTATTGCTGTTTAATACTCTTACCCTGACCCACTCACCCTACATGCAAGTGAATGCAATCCGATGACTGTGTTTTTTCTAGGCTATTTAACTGTGACTAGGATCAATCATTCTAGGTCTAGCTTAATCCCAATGTTCCAATAATCTAATTGACCCCGATCTACTAGTAGTGTAACAGCAGAAGGCCAGACATGCAAGCCAAGGTATATTTTTCATTGATCAAACCGCTATTTGTACATATATATACAGTTTACATTCTTTAACCAATCACTGAGGGTGTGATTTTGGTTTACATTAAACGACATGAAATAGAATGTTCAAATACATATATTGCATTCTGTTGCTAATGCAGTATTGAACTGTGGGAATATTATTATCATTATTATTGTTTCCTTTAGTTTCTAGAGGAATATACGGCTTCAGCCACACGTCTCCATTGCGTTCGGTTATCCGCCAACGTTTCCACCTGGCTCCACGTCTGCCCAGATGTTTTCACCTCCTCTTCACATCACCTCCTCCAAGTTACCCTTGGACGACTAACTCGACGCTTCCCGTTCGGGTTCCATACAAGGGCTTGTCTAGTGATGTCAGTCACTTGATGGTTTCCTCAGAGTATGACCAATTCATCTCCATTTCTTCCTGAAGTTTTGTTGCACAATCGGTTCCTGGTTGGTTCGCTCCCAAATATCCCTGTTGCTGATCTTTTCTGGCGGGCCATCTGATCTTGAGTATTAAGCAAAGACAGCTGATGATAAAGGTCTGTAGTAGTAGTTCGAAGTAGCCTTCGTGATCCGGCGCCAAGTCTCTGATCCATACAGTAGCACTGACTTCACATTGGCGTTGAAAATCCGGATCTTATTTTTCATGCTGAGTGTTGTTGACCTCTACACATGTGGGAATATGTGAGAATAATATTCCGTTGGGATACAGTCTTTATCACACCACCACAGTAGTATGACCTATGATGTAATTAACCACACAGCCATTACATTATGGTATTTTTGGTAAATTGTATTATTTTTCTCAATTGGACCTACTGAGTGCCATTGTCAGGCATCTAATCCATACGGGTGGACGTAAGGTGGACACCATGAAATCAGTTAAAATTATCAATATTTTCAAGTATTGGTTTTGTAGGGATGGTGTTTGATTGTTTGGAAGGTTTCATGATGAGCTGACATCAGTTAAAGAACCATTGGGAAACCAAGAGGGAGTACTGGACAGCTGTTTCATCCCAGTTTGGGAATCTTTATCAGTACGCAGCCACCACAGGGGTTCAAACCCAGGACCTTCTTGTTACTACACTAGTGAGCTCGTAGATCATTAAGCCCATGAATTCTAACTTCTGCCAATTCACGATATAGTGCGACCACTTTGCAATGTCTTCCTAGATGAGTTACTGCCTCACCATCAATCTGCTGTACCCTATTGGTCACGACTTCCCACCAGAACCCAAGGTCACTGTCTGAATAGGGCCAGTCGCTAACGAGCATCATATTAATTTTCAAGTATTGGTTTTGTAAGGGTCGTGTGGTCCTGGGTTCGAACCCCTGTGGTGGCTGCGTACTGATAAGGGGTCCCAAACTAGGGTGAAAGAGCTTTCCAGTACTCCCTGTTGGTTTTCCAATAGTTCTCTAACTGATGTCGGCTCATGATGAAACCTTCCAACCAAAATTATCAATAGAAAAATAGTTCAATTCTCCTCAGATTTTCCTAAAGTAATCGTTATCGAACATGCGAAGGCCGATTTATATGTTCAGAAAGAAGCAGTTATCAGTCTTTCCTTGCCGTGTTAACTGGGCATCTTTACTCTCTCTTTCCCTTCATTTGATTACGTCATCTCTGGCGTTAACCTCATCCCTCTTCGCTATAGTGTAATTTCGTTTTTCTCTCGTTTCTGTGACCTGAGTTGAATTCACCATATTCTTACTCAAAGGATTAGTCACTAATCATGTTGTTTACCCCCACGCAATTGTACCGAAGCGCTTATTTTTTGTTTGAACCTGAGCTTTCTGTGTATGTAAGCTATATTAAGTGTAATTTCTGAGCACTGTTCATTAACTTCAAAGTCTTCTGTCATTAATTAACATTACTGTAACGTTTGCAGGTGTATGTTAAAAATGTTCTGTACATAAACTTAATTCATTTCTTTAGACTGTGCGCAGTCGGTGAGAAGCCGATGATATAAACAATGATGATAACACATGTTATTCTGCGCAAGCTACTCTTGTTCTTGCTTTATTCAAATTCATAAAGGGGAATAAGAGTATGAGGAGGACAAAGTGGTTGTTGGTGGGTAAGATGCTGAAGGAAGAAAAACAGGATCTTCTGAATACACACAGCGCCTTATCATCAGAGGTGTGAATGATGTCATGGGAGACCTGATCACCATCAACTTTTTGAATTAAGAAACGGGGGGGGGGTTGAAGTTCTCAAAAAATTCGACGATTTTAGTTATTTTGAAAGTTATGTCAACCTTTACAAACTAACTCCTACTTCCACAAAAGGACAATTCAACAAGATTGACTTTTAATTCAACAAGTGTCTTCCAGTTAGACGAATGCATTGTGAAGCGGTTAAACTGATTCTACTCTGTGGTCAACACAGTCCTTGACTATCGAAGTCTCCCTAACGATGCTCATCTGTCAGAAAACAACAGAGGGTAGTGACCCAAACTACGACGAAACAATTATCCAGTACTCCCTGCTGGTTGTCAATGTTTCTCTAACCAACTGACATCATTCACATATCAAAATTGAAACATATCGAATCCCTCGTGACCAGTATGTTCCATTACGTCAAGAGAGATGTGAGGAAAAATGCTCGCCGATGACATTGGCTGGCGGTTGTGATAAAGTCACGCATGTCAGTGACTGAATGGTATACGAGTTTGACTGGTAACCGGAAATTCCTGGGTTTGAATTAACTCTCGGAAGGGTAGAAATGTTGAGATTTTTGTCCATGTCAAGATCGGGATTCCGGATGTTGTAGAACCATTGGTAATAACTGAGATGACTATCTACAATATGTGTAGCATATACAACTTATACATTATTCTCTGATGGAAGCTATTATAGCTTAAATTGTCGATAGACGGGTACTCTTGGTCAATTCTGAATGCATTACACAATCACACTGCACAACAACAGTCGCTTGTCTTCAAACGCAAACAACAATAAGCTGTACCCGTAGTGGTTTGCATAAAACCTCCCTAGGTGGAGCAGCGCTCGAACGGTTGACCCACTTTAGAAACCTAATACACATCAAACGATGACTCTAACTGTTGGAACTTTAGTTATTGACTGACTTCTCAAGATATTTTGTCTTTCATTCAGTGATTCTTCGATGTTCTACAAAAAATAAAATGCTTAGCAATCCAAGAGATCACCAAATGCATATCTGGCATCACAAGAAATGCAAATAAACATCACTGTATATAAATATAATACTCACCTGGAATCCAGATGATTCCTTTCCACCGACCAATACACCGGGATGGTGAAAATTAATACGTAAATAGGTATAATCCGCTTCAATAGATGTTGAAACATTTTTTATGGTACTAATATGAAATGGTGTCGGCAAACCGAAGATCGGTAGAATAACAGTCTCGTACTTCTTATCTATACAAAAGGAAAAAATCAGGGAGGAACAGTGAGGTAGAAAGAAACAAGACTCAAATGAATAATATATAATCTTATGTATATACGCGCTAAACACGCAAAAAGGGGGCGGGGTCATGTCCCTGACCGACTCATAACCTAAACCTCTCTTAGGTGGTAGTATGTCGCTCCGTAGAGTGGGAAGGTTGTGGCATGACGCTGGCAACATCACTCCACAAAAAGAGCAATGTCACCACTGTTACTGAAACTCTAAAACTCACACTTATAGCCCTATGTTCCACTCAACACGCAAAGGGAAAGCTTTTTAAAATTGTTAACAACAAAATTGCATCAGTCCACGTTACCACAGTTTGGAGAAGCATGACAACTATGCATTCCTAGACTGCTGGACAGAAACTGCTATAAACTAGATGCAATTACGAAATTTGTAAAACTCTAACAGCTGGGATTATTACGTTACTTTGTAACAACATCTTATTATTTCAAAATTCCCAGAGTCCAAAGATTAAGATTCACGAGTGATGTTAATAATGAGATTTTATCACAGCGTCTAAATAGGGCCTTCAAAAGGACCTTCAACGCAGCTAAGTTATGCTGTATATCCACTGGCCAACCACTACTTAGTTCAAGAAATCAAGACAAACTGCCCTGCTTTGCCTCTTCCATGTGTATTTACCAGTCCAACTGCTCCTGAGGAGCTAGTCACATTAAACGGACGTCAGACGAGGCAAGTTAGTCGTTGGATTTCTAAACCCCTCCCTCTCTTTGTGTACCAAACGTCTGTGTAAATAAAGCCATACGTAAGTTCATCTCGTCGACACTGGACATCAAGTTGCTTTTAAAGTCACTCATCAATCGTATTTCATCCAACCTTTTGCATGCTCTACGAGCACAAATTTTACACACATACAATAAAGACAACTAGAATTCATCTGAACAAGTCAAATCTTTGTGTTGTAAAGAAATTTGTACAGCTCCTTTCTTTAGCCATAGCCAAATACATAATATGTATTAAGTTTTTAGAAACGAATTTCCACTCCCCTTGTAACTGTCTTTTGACTCTATTATCTAATTATGATTTCAACTTTGGCTAATTCAAATTACTTGTTTTGCATCTTCGTATTCTTACGTAACTCTTCTTAGTCATCACTACTTTAAAAAAACTTCATTATGTAATAACTTGCTGCTAACGCCCCCCCCCCGCTTATGAATCAACTGATTTTGAATTCCGTAATTAATTATTGTCAACCCTCCCTCCTTCAAAAACTTAGATATAGTTGTTATTAACATCTATTTGATAATTCCTCTGATACCTTCTAACCTCTTAATTTAGCTACCACTCGCCCATCGCCTCCGGTACACATAAAACTGAGAATTCTTTCGATGTTAAAAACCTTGTTGTAGTGTAGAACTGATGATGAGGAACTAACTCGAAAGGAATACATATTCCTTTGCTCAATCTTACTATTTACCTGATAGTTTCGCCAACCTCCAAGTTTGAGGTTAATATACAAGTAGAACTTCCGATACTGATGTCGATGTGACATATACAACGATATATTTCTTTAGATTAAATGTACATGTTTTCTATCTGTAAAGACTCAACACTGTTGGCTGTGTGAACACGGAGGGGGAGTGAAAATGATCTGTGTATCCCATGGCATCAAAAGAAAATATAGAGACAACTACTTAACTGTTGGTCCACCAAGGGAGAGGGTTCTCGAGTGGTTGCGCCACAGGATGATCCTGCATGCCGGTCTCGTATCGCAAGAGGCATGGATGGGTGTGTTCGGTTCTCCTGAAAACCAATACCCAGTCAATGGGTGTATCACTGTGCGAATTTGAGGCGTCGGTGGCATAGCGGTTAGGATGCTCGCCGACCATGCATACGGTCCGGGGTTCGATCCCTGGCCGATGCACTCCTTTACCTCATTAAGCCAGAAATAAAGCTGGTGAAGAGGAAAACTTGGGCATGAGGCTAGCAACCCCATCCGGTAAAAATAAACACTGCTACAGAAACTGCAAGACTCTAGCTCAAAGCCCTATGTTCCACTGGGAACGTGTAGGAATAAAAAAAACTTAACTGTAGTTTAGTCGTAAGACTATGTATGGAGATACAAAAGAGATAATAAGGTTTGTCGATATTTCACAATAGGAATAACAATAATCAATTGGCACTTCAGTTTTCTGATATAGTAACTATCAAGTGTCCGGGTTCGCAAGGATTTGATTGGTCACAGGTTCGAACACCAGCTGACATCATTCACGGTAGCATTGAGAAAACATGGAGTACTGCATAGATGTTTCGTCCTAGTCTGGGACTTATCTGCAGTACCTACCCACTACAAGAGTTTGAACCCAGAACCTTTCATTTACAAGTCAAGCTCGTACACCACTCAATGGTCAGTCCATGACTTGACTTTTTCTTACCGCCACCAACAGCCAATCTCGTTGGTGAGTAGTTGTATCACCTCCGACATGGTGAACCCTATTGGTGATGACTTCTCACTAGAACTCACTCCAGTCAACTTCGTCACGCAGCCAGTAATTACACTAGAGAGCATCAGATTAAAACATTTTGGTGGAATAATAATAATAATGTACAGATCAATCGTCACATACGCATTAAAACAAAGAAGCCGCTTAGAACAACTTACCAACAAATATTCTCAATTTATGCACATCATCTTCTTTAGGCATTTGACCAGCACCCTTATAGGCAATACTCGATTTCATTTTCTTATCAGCATTTGTATCCGTCTTTAATCCTGTTAGACGATTAGTAGAGCTTGTCAACAATTCTTGGAATAAATCACGTCTACGACTCATACGTTTCTCTTCAGCAGTTTGTTCACTCTAGAAGCGAAATAGGTGTGTACACACATAAAGGAAGGAGAAGAAATTTGAATTAAGAATAATGAAGGGAGAGAATAGGATATTAGGGAATAGTGGAATCCAGAAATCCCGACTGCTTCTGACTCATCACATGAATGTCATTGTTAACCTCATGCACTGAGGGATGGTGTTCACACACGGGAACCTAAATCGAAGTATCCACTGCGTCGGTGGCACGGCGGTTAGGACTCTCGCCGACCATGCACATGGTCCGGGGTTCGATCCCTGGCCGACGCACACCCGATATCAATGGTCGGCTTGCAAAATTTGGGCTACCGATATCCATGCTGAAAATTCCATACTTGTACCAAAAATACGGTGTGGAGTCAAGCTATAATCCACATGACGTCGGGGCATCTATCCAAAGGCGCTAATATGCGAAAATGAGGCTGATAAATTCAGTACAGGCATATATCAACGGCAGCGTCAGTGGTGTGACGGTAAGATGCTCACTAACCACGCCTTACTTGAGCCAGGACTCAATCCGCAAACCCACTGACGCACTCCTAAACCTCGCTTAACTGGCAGTAAAACCAGTAAGGAGTGAAACCTCGAAGCTCCAGCTTGAAGTCTTTTATGTTCCACCCCAAATGCAAAGACGCAATGAAATCTCAAGACTTCTATTTATAGTTCAAGGCATTCAACTTTCAATGGTACTTACTATACATTCGACCGAAAGAAAAAGTAGTAGAGATTATCACACAAAATGAATTTATATAAATATATACGCAAGCTTACTCGTGTTTTCTGATCAACAATAGCCCTCCGATGTCCTCTGCCTAATAATTCTTGTGTATTCATTGCACTATCACCATTTGACATGCCTTGTTTTTTAGCATTTGCCACTGAACTTGTCCCATTCGACGAACGTGTACTTTTTGATGCTGATTTAGAGGTATCTTTCCCATCAACCATTTCATCACCATCATCATTTTCATCCACATCTTCCTCTTCCTCTTCTTCTTCTTTTATATACAAACTAATCGATTTTGGACGACGTTTAGCTGCTAGAGTGTACACCGTATTCTCACCATTTTCGCCAACACCAACAGCCAGTACATCGCCTAACCAAAGAGCGTATTGTTTTTCTGTTTGAGATTTACCAAGACTATTGACTAAATTCTGGAAATAAAAAGAAAAATATAGAAAGTGAAATGAAACACTTGAGGATTATTATGTTATTATCACTACTATGGTTCCGAGTGGAACACGTAGGGCTACGGCTACAACAGCACATCTCCACTTTGTTCTACACAATTGCCCATAGTTTTTCATCTCCAACAGCTATACGACAATGCTGCATGCCAAGTAATCCACAACGGGAAACTTACGGAACCCTTCGAAGTGAGGACAGGAGTAAGACAAGCTGGCTGCCTACTATTGCCAATGATTTTCTTGATTGCAGTTGACTGGATAATGCGACAAACAGCGGGCAATGAGGAAACAGGCATAAAATGGACACACACAAAAAACATGGAGGATCTGGACTTCGCCGATGATATATGTCTGATTTCCCACAAACTGGAAGACATGCAAGCGAAAAGCAACAAGTTGGCAGAAGAAGCATCCACAGAAGATAGGACTTCAGGTGAACATAGAGAAAACAGAGGTGATGAAGATTCCTGGTCAACACCAGCAACAACAACAACAACAGGCAACAATCAGCATAAATGGAAGGAACCTCAAAGAAACAACCTCTTTTACCTACCTGGGAAGCATCGTCTTAACTACAGGCGGACGGAACTGACGAGGATATCAAAGCAAGGATCGGAAAAGCAAGACAAGCTTTCACTACTCTCAAGTCTGTGTGGAGGTCAACAACACTCAGCATCAAAAATAAGATCCGGATTTTCAACTCCAATGTGAAGTCAGTCAGTGCTACTATACGGATCAGAGACTTGCACTGCGCGTCATAAAGAGCATCTCTAACAAACTACAGACCTCCATTAACAGCCAGTTGTCTTCGCTCAATACTCAAGATCAGATGGCCGGCCAGAAAAGATCAGCAACAGGGATCTCTGGGATCGAACCAACCAGGAACAGATTGTGAAACAAAAAGGCAGGAAGAAATGGAGATGAATTGGCCATACTCTTAAGAAACCATCAAGTGACATCACTAGACAAGCCATTGCTCGAGTGGAACCCGAAAGGGAAGCGGCGAGTTGGTCGTCAGTGCAAGGGTGACTTGGAGGAGGTCATGTGAAGAGATGAAAACGTGTGGGCAGACATGGAGCCAGGTGAAGACTCTAGTAGGGAACAGAACGCAATGGAGACGCACGGCTGAAGCCCTATGTTCCTGTAGGAATTAAAGGATACAATAATAATATAATAATAATCTCATCTCCTTCATGTCACTCTCGGACCCACGCCTCACTCGTCGTTTCCCATTCGGGTGACTGGTATGCGATTTCATCGGACAGTCCCCTCAGTGTGCGCCCTATCCCTTCCCATTTTCTTTCACATATTTGTTGAGCAATAGGTTTTCGGCTGTTGGTTTTTTCCCATAGTTGCTTGTTGCTAATTCTTTCCGACTGGCCATTCAATCTTCGATATGGAGCCAGCTAAGGGGGCAGCCGTTGATTAAAAGTCTGCGGTGGCCTGTTGGAAATGCTTTTCGTGACGCACAGTGCAAATATCTGATCCATATAGAAGAGTTGACTGACTTAACATTCGTGTTGAAAATCTGGACCTTGTTCTTTATGCTGAGTTCAGAAGATTTCCAAACTAACTTTAGACTGAGGAAGGTGTACCTTGCCATTCTAATTCTGGCTGGCGGCTTTGACATATTCATCTGTTTCGTCTGTGGTTGAAACGATGCTGGCTTCCTAGATAAGTGAAGGAATTAACCTCGGCCCAACCCGCCCCTGTCACTTCACGCCCTACAGACTTCCACACAATCCAGTCCACCGCAATCAGGAATATCGCCGGTGGTATTACTTAGACAAAGCCTTGCCTTACTCCTGTATTCACTTCAAAGGCTTTGCTGAGATTTCCGTTTGTGGGTCACGTACTACGTGCCATTGTTATATAGCTGTTCAATGAAGTCGATAAAGATTTGAGATATGCTACAGTGTTGGAGTAATTTCAAAATTACTTCACGGTCAACACTGCGTTGTCGAAGGCCTTTTCAAAGGCTTGAGGATTTGTTAGAAGTAATTAATTCCTGTGAGATGTGAGCATGTATCTGTCTTTGAGCATCACAGTGATAACTACGAATGTGATTACGTTTAGAATGAGTCCACAATTTTACACCACCCACCTGGCTATGAGAGAACCCATCACACCAAAAAGAGTATACCACATTTTACTATGTAGAATACGAAAGACAACATAAAAAATATTGTACACATCTAAAATAATTTACACTGAAATATCGCGTATGGAATTAGTCATTGTCGTCTTCGATGAGTTTAAGAGGAGTCTTTGTATAGGATTCGTGAAAAGTACCCATGAGGACATTAGAAAGAACAGAAATAAGAAGTCCCGTCCTTTTCGATGGTTTCATCCTCAAAAGCAGCTGTACAATCTCATTTATATATGCATATATAAGTTTACACAGATAAAGTTATTATTTAATTCCATATAATAATAAAGGAGATTAAAGGTGATCCTTCCTTCATTCCTTTACGTCCCCCGCCCCAGTGGAACACAGTGGGGTCCAAGCTAGAGCTAAGAAATTACGGTAACTGGTGTTTTATTTTTAAGGGGTGGGGTTGCTAGCCTCATCTGAGCCAATCTTCCCTCTTTACCAGTCTCTTATTACTGGCTTAGCGAGGCAAAGGAGTGCCATGTCAGTCGGGGATTGAACCCTGGACCACATGAAGCGTGGTTGGCGAGCATTCCACTGCTGTGAGCCACCGATGTACACAATTAAAGGTGATAATAATTTTCAACTTGATATGAAAGTTCCAAGGTGTCAATATGTAGATAACACAGGATTAGAAAATAGTTGCGTAATATATGTAAAATAGTTGTTTTAACGAAGCGAGTTGTCAGTGGGATGGACCTAGAAACAAATTGAAATAATAGCTATTTTTACAACTGAAGATGAAAAATGTAATGATGGGAATTAAAAACCAAGTACACGAAAATACTAAGAAGTCAAACCAAACTAAATCCATGGTGAATGTAGGATGGAGGCTGGACTAATTTTCTTTTGAACACACACACATAGCTCTGGCTTTTCAATGCATACGACGAGGACGTCTTTGCGTACAAAGAAGTCGGAAACCCAGTGGCTTTCGTAGATTCTTGTTTACTTTGTAAATGACTCTGAGTGATGAATCCAGTTGAGGTGCTATGACAAATAATGACGAGGTACTCAGTTATGGCGTTTCTGCTTGAATCGGTTCCAACTTTTTCGCAGCCACGCTATATATATATATATATATATATATAGATTTAGAAACTGCTTCGACACTACGGAGTGTTTCACGCCCCTATCACCCTCATTCAACAGCTATTTGATGATGTCACATGTTAAGTGATCCACAACGGAGAACTCACGGAAGATTTTGAAGTGAAGATAGAAGGTAAGGCAAGGACGTCTACCATCAACAATCATACTCCTAATTGTAGTAGAATGGATCATGTGGCAGACTATGGGGAGCAAGAAAATGGGAATAGGTTGGACCGGTGAGGAGATTCTACAAGATTTCCACTTCGCGGACGATTCATGTGCAACTTGAATGTGTACAGGCGAAAACCTATAAGTTGTCAGGAGTGGCAGGCAGCGAGGGCAGGACTTCAGGTAAACAGACAGAAGACAAAAGTGATGTAGATAACCAACCAACGATTACAACAACAAAAACAAACAATCACTGTCAAGGGTAGAGATTTGAAAAAGGTCACTTCTTTCATTGGCCCGACGTAGGCAGAATCGTTTTAACTACAGGTGACACAGATGAGGATATCAAAGCCAGACAGGATCGGAAAGACAAATCAGACCTTAATCACTCTGAAATCAGTGTGGAGACCTGTTGCACTAACCATAAGAATAAAATGCAGATTTTCAACACCAATGTTAAGTCAGTCAATTCTTCTATATGAGTCAGAGACTTGGTGCGTGAGTCATGAAAAGCATTTTCAACTGGCCACTGCAGAATTTCACTGCTTTTGCTGGCTCCATACTCAGGACCGGATGGCGGGCAGGAAAAGATAGGCAACAAGGAACTCTAAGAACGAACTAACCAAGAACCTATCGCTCAACAAAGATGCTGAGGAAGATAGAGATAGATAGATGGACCGGGACGGGCACATGCTGAGGAGACCGCTCAATCACATTGGGTATCAAGGCCACACACTTGACTGGTACCCGAATAGGCAACGGTGAGCTGGGCGTGAATCTGGGGGTGACACGGAGGAGATCGTGTGTGGAGGAGATGAGGGGGCTTAGGGGGGCGATTGTGGAGTCAACCAGCCTAAGAGAGGACTGTAGGAACCCAAGAAATTAATATATGTATAGTAAAATACCAACCAACTAACTAACTAACCTGGAAACCTAAGTTAAAGTTGAGTGTCATTCCTTTACGAAACGTTGATGTGCATTTATTAGATAAAAGAAGATTACTATCTCGAAATTCAATTCCCGTTACAAATCTGCAAAAAAGAAAGAAAAAACACGAAGCATAATACACCTGTATGATTCAATTATGAGTATGTTTATGAATAATGCACAACATTCCAATTCAGAGACAACACTGTTCAGATTCTCTATATACGCTAGAGATTGTGGAAGACAATTAGTTTGTTAAAGACTAGTGATATATAGGGCCTATCACAGCAAGGAGTGTGGTTTAAATGACTGGCTGACTGGTTTCAACAGATAACTAGGCACAGATGTGCAACAGTTCGAATTGCTACACTCCACGTAGAACACACAGCAAGAGAAGAGAGTAAAGAGAAAGATTCAAAACAGAGATAATAAACAGAAGTTTGGGGGAAAATTCTAATATAGAAGAACAATGTAGTTTTATTGGATGTGACAGAACACAAAGATTAAATGAATCTTTGCCAGCCATTGAGAACGACGATTTTGAGCTATATCACCGATTGTTTCCAGCCTTCATTGGTTTTTACTATCCCGACGACCCCGACCAGGAAGTCTACACCTTCCTACGTGACTTAAACTAACTGTTGTGGATTTCATTGACTGATGAAGCCATATTTTGGTTTGACCACCACTGGCATTGTTCTAACCTGACCCTATGTCAGTTAACATTGCCCATTGTCGAGGAAGGCGATGGCTAGGCATGTGTAACACATGTCCTAACCATATCAATCGAAGTAACTTCCCCCTCTCCTCCTTACCTAGCACTCGGCCGACGCCTAACCTCACTATTGCTCACCCAATTACACCAACTAGTACGAGAGATAGAATGCAGACACCTACGACCAAAGACAACCAGGAAGGCTTTCCATGTCTCCCACTTTGAATGGTCAGGTCTCACAGCCAGCCATAAAGGAGGACGGAGCGGACTGCTGAACAGTACACGCGCCGTTTAGTTTATATGCTTCCTTGGAAGTCAAATGCCTATGCCGATAAGATATTTCTTCACATCTGTTAGACACTTAGCCAGTGACTGACTGTAATGGACAAATTGTTTGAGAAATTCCTCCTTGACAATCTATTTATAATAAGTTATACTTATTTAGACGTTTCAACTAACCGCGTAATTATTATACGTATCGTTAATTGGCATCTGCACATCACATGTTGATTTTGACATCTTTACTATTCCACTTTCTCTTGTTTAATCTTTAATTGTGATACTTCTCTCTGGGGGATGTGTGTACACTGACAATTTGAGTTTGTTTGAGAGAATGAAGGTGATTCTAACCCGGGGAGACTGTCTGTGGGAAGTGTTGGTGTGTGTGTGTGTGATTTTGTGGACAGAGCTGCTGATCCCACCTCATTGGGAATATTCTCCTCGATTCTAAGGAAGAAGGTAGCCTGTACAGTTCAACTTTTGTCTTACAGTACTTGTTTTGTATTTAGGAACCTACGTAGCTGTCCAGTTGCGTCACGGCATTGTTGAGGTGAATTTGAGTTTTGATGTTATTCTTATTGTTGTTTAATAGGACCCCCAAAATGATGGAAAATAATCGTTTCGTGGTAGCGTGTGTCTCAACGAAGTTTCGTCGGCTATACAGTAGAACATAAACATCAGTTCCTTGCGTTTAGACCATAACTGAATAAATTTTTTCTTCACACTGACAACTACAGGACGAAGTTGTCTAAAGTTCTAACGATAAATCGCAACCAGTGGGGTCCACTAGGTCGGGTGTGAGGACGAAAACTCGCCGACGACGACATTGTGCCTGGTAGTCGGTGGTCAGGTTAAAATCATAAACTGTTAGCAGTTAGAATGTATGGGCCATTGATGCATCGACGTCCCAGTGGTTGAATGGTTGACTTTTAACCGATAGGTCATGGGTTCGAACTCCCATGGGTGGATACTGCCTACGAAGAAACAGCTATTCACTACTCCCTGGGGGGTTACAATGGTTCTCTAGCCTATATCAATCCCTGACTAAAGCTGAAAAAACAAATCGAATCCCTACAGACTAACTCTTGATAGTAAAACGTGATTAGAGCGAACAAATGTCGCTTTCAATATATAGTTCTTCTTCTTCTGGCTCCACAATTATAAATCCATTAATTTCAGTATACAGCCATACCAAAAACTTATCATTGTGTGTAAACCACTGAAATATAATTATACTTTTCAAGTACTGGTTTTGTAGGGATTTAGTTTGATTGGATGGAGGATTTCATCATGATCTGACATCACCTAGAGATCCACTGTAAAAACCTGGTAGTACTGGACAGCTGCTTCGTACTGATGAAGAGTCCCAAAATAGGACGAAACGCCTATCCAGTACTCCCAGCTTTTCCAGTGGTTCTATAATTATACTTTATTTAGAAATATGATTGGTTAATAAGGACTTGAGATACACCCAGATGAATGTAGCCTTATTAGTGCCCAAAGTTCCATGTATGTGACCAACAGAACGAGAGATAGAAATAGGAACCCCACTTGGAAGGGTTAAGGAATTATCGTTGAATTGCATGATGAATGTTCAGTTTATGTTCACTAATGATTTCCATAGACAGGTTGGAGGAGTTAGGGTGATGGCCTGCCGCACCTCTGGGTGCTATGCAGTATTTACTTTGGCCTACATATAATATAAGGTTAACAAATCCTCCTCCATAAACGTTGGTACTAGAAATTCCTATCCCATATTTTCATCTTTTTCGTTCAATTGTTAGATTTTCAACATGAATCAACAACAGTTAGACAGATCATTGAAAACCACCAGGGGACACTGGACACAATATCAAGCAAGGCAAAGAGTGGATTCACTCATTGAAGGTAATGGAGAGAGCAGCACTATATTCACGAGTTGACAAAATTATAATTCACGGGTCACTGAATCCCACCCATCCTAAGTGAATGAATGGTCAAGGAGCTTCATCCCCTTTTACTTGAAGGTCCCAAGTTCATTCCCTGGAGGAGTCGTGGTTGGATGCTGATGAACAGCCCCGAAATTAGGACGAAACCGTTGTCTAGTGTCCTCCTTGGTGATGATCAATAGATCTCTCTAACTGATGGTAGTTTGTGACAAAATATGACAACTGAGATTAATCCAAAATTTTTTTTCCTTTGTTTCATTGGCAAACGTGTTTATCTCAAATCTTTTACGACTTCATGACCTTCCTTTCATATTGTGTCTATCCCTCTAGGTTTACACAATGCTTTTCAAATTTGTTATTGCATTTACACAATCTTGTTCATTCGGCTTCATTAGATTCTTTGTTATATGAGATAATCATTCACTAATAGTACTTTCGTGTTCGCACCATCCCATCGTCATTATTTCATTATTGTTACTATTATTATTTGTCACCCTTGAACTAACGTCTAGCCTTGCTATCCCATTTGATTGATTTATTTCTCTCACCCTTGAAATCTTTACTCATTTCACCTCATGTTCTTATGGACCACACATAGTCTAAGTGATAATCAAAACTAACTGACTATTATTCCACCTTGTACTTGTACTACAACAACATACCTTCTGACATAATTCTGATTTAAATAGTTGGAGGCAGTCGGCAGGAAGCCTTGCCGGGACCTAGGTTTCGTGCTAGTTGGCACTCACCAATAAGCAAGGTGTATCTGCAACCTTGAAGGAACTCCTGTCCCTTCTGAGATTCGAACCCACGTCAACCAGTGCTGCAATCAGAGACGTTACCACTGAGCTATTCGGACTCGCGATTGACTTCCAGTATGGCCGCTAGTGGGTATTTTGATTGGACACTAGTAACTAGTGTGACGTGTCTAGTCCTTTCTAGTCCTAATTCTAATTTGCCTTTACTGGCTGGTAATGTTATATGCTGAAATTAATGGATTTATAAACTGTAGGACCTGAAGACGAATTTGTTGAAAACCACAACTGTTCGCTCTAATTTCTATTTGTTCTAAATCAATTATGCGGATATTCATCAAATTACTTAGTTAATATGCATTTCAGTAATTTATGGAGCTGTGTAACTCGATTCTTAGCCAGTTGTTTGGTGCCCAATTCGAGCTCACATCCCACCTACTTCATTCAGCCTGCGAGATTTGTCCACGACACGGTAGAACGCAGATGACTTTTAAAAAGTATATAAGTAGTAATGGCATAAAAATATTTGACAAATTACATGAAACTGATCAACAAAGATCGTAAATATGGAAAGGGTATAGCGCGGCATAATGCGCGGTCATGAAGGAAAAACTACACTTACCCATAATTACGTAGGAGATTCTCTGCTAATTTAGGACGTTCACTGGAGACTTTATCAGCAATAGCTTGACAAAAATCGGCTATTTTAACACCTAAAATAGAAAAAAGTAAACATACACAGTAATAAATTCTAGTAAATGTTGAGTGTAAAGACACGTAGATATTTCCACTATTATTTATGCAAAAAACTGCAGGAGTTCGTTCGAGTTGCCACACTCTATATAGAACATAGAGGAAGACAAAGGAGAGGAAAAACAGAGATTCGAAGGGGTGATAACAAGCAGAAATGTGAAGGAAAAAGAAGTAGTAACATAGTACAAACTAATTGTCAGAGATTTCATGGAGTGACTCCAGGCTTCCACTTGACCACCACAACCACTAGCTAGCTCTTTTCCAACCTGATTCATCCCAAGTCAGATAACATTGCTCGTCGGTCAAGCGAGGCGACGGTTCAACATGCACAACACATATGTCCTAGTCATCTCAATTGATGGAGTTATGAAGTTTCCTTAGCACTTGACGCCTAACCTCAATATTAGTCACCTTATTATACCACCACCTAACAGGGAAGATAGAACACAGATACCTATGATTCAAGACAACTAGGTAGCCTTTTCATTTCTTCTCACTTTCAATGACCATGTATCCCTCACAGCCATAAAGGAGGACGGAACGAACTGCTGATGTGCAATAGACACGTCCTCTAATCCATAGCTAGAGATATGGTGTAAGTTGGCAAATGTCAAAGCAGCCTTTTGTGCCCGTGCTGATATTTCGTCAACAATCAATCCACTAGGACCGATGTAACTTCTCAAATAAGTAAATCAGTCAACACACTTATCAACCACTTCACTCGATATCTTTTGGCTAGGAGAGTCGATGCAGCAGCAACAACAGAATCTTACACATTTGGCAGGAGAGAATCACAGGTCAAACATTCGAAGATTTCTGCACAAGATGTTTAGAAGACTTATTTTATTAATGTCTTCAACCAAGGACTATGTCATCTACATACCTCCAAGGTAACAAGACTGACTCCCGGTAAAAAGTCAATCCTTAAGTCTCTGAAGTCAGTTAAAATCAATCCCATAAGAAACTGGGAATTGTCGTAGCAGGATTTTTTTTTCAAATGGTATCCTCTTCCGTATCCTCTCACTAGTTTACTCTAATTGGTTGGTCGTTGCTTAAGGTCGTTTTTAGTTGGAGTCTTCAGAGACATACATATACACATACATGCATACAAAAGAAGTAAATCGACAGACAAACACCACTCACCTGGTTTAATCTGTTCAATACACCAGTCAAGGAGATCATGTAGATACGTATAGTTTGCTGATTGTTCATCCGTCGGATTCACCATTAATGAACGGATTATGTTGGAACAATAGGATTGATAACGTACACCCAAACAGCAAATAATTGTACCAAAATGCAAGGAGCGTGAATCACTAAAATATTAACAAGGTACAAGAGACAATGTTGTAAAATTAACAGCATGATCAATGATTATCACTATCGAATACCACTGACCCAATGGTTAGAGCAGTGGCGATATAAACAGGTATATGATTTCGTTCCTTCGAAGTAAAAACAGGAGTAAGGCAAGACTGCCTACACTATTTCAAATGACTAATTTCCTGATTGCGGTAGACTAGATAAATGAGACAGACAGTGGGCAACGAGGAGACAGGCCTAAAACACACCCACACAAAAAAACTTAGAGGATCTGCATCTCGCCAATAACATAGATATGTCTGATTTCCTACAAACTGGAAGTGAAGAGCAAACAAGTTGGCAGAAGAAGCATCACAGATAGGACTTCAGGTGAACATACACAAAACAGAGGTGATGAGAGAGGTTCCTAGCCAACAGCAACAACAGACAACAATCACCACAAATGGGAAAAATCTAAAAGAAACAACCTCCTTTACATACCCACCGACCTGGAAAGCATTGTTTCAACTACTCTCAAGTCTGTGTGGAGATCAATAGCACACAGCATGAAAAATAAGATCCAGATTTTCAACTCCAATGTGAAGTTAGTGCTACTGTACGGATCAGGCACTTGGCGTGTCATGAAAGCCACTTCGAACTACTACTGCAGACCTTTATCATCAGCTGTCTTCGCTCAGTACTACTCAAGATCAGATGGCCATAAAAGATCAGCAACAGGGATCTCTGGGATCAAACCAACTTAGCAGGAACCAATTGTGGAAGAAATATGCAGGAAGAAATGGAGGTGGATTGGTCATACCATGAAAAAACAAACCATCAAGTAACACCACACGCCAGACCATAGCTCGAGAGGAACCCGAATGGGAAGTGGCGAGTTGGTGGTCAGTGGGAGGGTGACATGGGGGAGGAGGTGATGCGAAGAGGAGATGAAAGCATGTGGGCAGACTTGGAACCAGGTGATGAGAACTTCGGCGGAGAACCGAAGGGAATGGAGACGTGCGGTTGAAGCCCTATGTTCCTCTAGGAACAAAAGGAGACAACAATGATAATATGATTTCATGTATTTAACTACAAAGTTTACAAGTGTACGGAGATAAGGGGAACTAAATTTTAAAAGTTACAAGATAAATCTTTAGAACATTTTTTTATTTCTTATTAGCCAACAGAACACACTTTGCATCGACTGCTTGAAAAGTGACAATGTCACACACGTCAACTGATCCACAACAGAAAACTCAGTGAGGTGTTTGAAGTGAAGACAAGAGTGAACAAGGCTGACTGCCTACTATCACCGACGATACTCCTCCCAGTTGTGAGTCGGACTATGGGGAGAAAACAGGAATGTGTTAGGCTGGTAAGAAGATTCTAGAAGATATGGACTTTGCATATGATTTATATCGAATGCCACACAAACTTCAAAACCAACAAGTTGACTGAAAAGGCAGGCAGTAATGACAAGACTTCAGGTAAGCATAGACAAGACAGAGGTGGTGAAGATAGCCAACCAACCAACAACAACAAGCATCAATCAATATCAACAGAAATTTGAAAGAGGCCAATTGCTTCATTTATTTGGGTAGCATCGTTTCAGTTACACAGAGTCAAAGATGAGGATGTCAAAACCAGGATCGGAAAGGCGAGGCACATCTTCATCACTCTGAAATCAATTTGGAAATCTCTGGCACTCAGGATAAAGAACAAGATTTGAATGTTCAACATCAATGTTGTCAATCAGTTCTTCTATATGGGTTAGACACTTGTAAAAAGGAGACTGGAATTCAGGCAGTTGGAACCGATTCGTCTATTTAAGCTTAGTTGTACCAAGTACACCAATGGTGTGCTTGACCATAAACGATCACATGACAGTTGTTCAGCGTTCAGATAACATTCGTTTGGCTACCACTATGCACTATTGGCTGTCCTCTAACTACTAATACCTATCATCAAGTGTTGATTTGCAGGAATCTGATTAGTCACAGGCTTGGCCACGAGCTGACATCAGTTGGAGAACCACTGGGAAGGCAGCAAGAAGTTCTGAACAGCTGTCTTGTCCTAGTCTCGACACTCTTCATCAGTACATACCCCCGCGCGACGGTTGCACCAAATATATCGCGAATTACCAGAAGCTGGAAGTGATGAGCCAATTGGATTTGGTTCCAGTGGCTGAATGGTTTACGAGTTCGCCTTTCTTACCCGATAGGTCCTGTGTCTTGAAAACTGCCAAACCAGAATGAAACAGCTATCCAATGGTTTTCCTCTAACTGATCTCAGCTCGTGATCAAACCTGTAATGAATACTAATCAGCGGAATATATATCGTGATTTCAACTGATTTATAAACTTGTTAAGTGATTCATAATCTCCAAGATTTATAGTTATTGATGAAACTTGAAGACAACAAACCTCAAAGGGGTAGGTGAGTTTATTTTCCCGTCTGTTTAATAGTGAAATGATCACTCTTTGATAAGTCTTGGAACTTATACACACCAAGTGAAGTTTGATATTTGCGGTATTGCCTTACCTAACGGTGGTATTTGACTTTGTAGATTCCTATGAGTTGTAGCCATGTCTTAATAACCAACAAGTGACTACCATACAATATCTGATACACTTCAATAGTCTATATATCCAACCACCATTGTTCAGTCTGATTTAAAATCACAAAAAGATATAATATTTTCAATGTAACGAAACAAGTCTCAAAAGAAAAGAAAAAAAGAGGAGCTTACCTTTCAATACTGAATTTAAGATTGTATGTTCCACCACTTTGTATAATTGGATCATAACACATTTCTACCTGATCAGGATCTAAACCTGATAGATAGGTTGGATTACGAAGTGCATTTTGACAATCACTAGAAAGCTTTTCATGCTTTACCTTCTATAAGTAAAGAATACAAAAAAATATTTTTAAAAAGGAGGGTGTAGCTTACTAAACAGATGCAGAAACACTAGAATCACAATAATAAAAAGGTAATATTTGAAGAAACTATGTGAAAATCCAATGTACAATGGAATAGGGAATACTAAAATAAATAGTTACAGGATTTCAACATGAGCTGGCATCGGTTAGAAAACCACTGGAGAACCAGCTGAGAGTACTAGACAGTTGTTTCGCCCTAGTTCGGGAGCCTTCGTCAGTTTGCACCCACCAGGGTTCGGACGCAGGATCTTACGTTTACAACTGAAAATAAAGTATTAGATAGACATACTACTGTGAGAAATTACAGTGAACGGACTGTAGACACGTATCGCATGCATACTCTTATAGTTATCTGTGAATCACAACTGCCTCGACTAATAACACTGCCAGGCTAATTAAAACAAGGAAATTGAAGTCAGAATTCATGAAGCAGTAATAACAATCCATAGATCTACACAACACTTTAAAGCACAGTAAAATATTTAAGTTTCAACCAACACATAAGAAAATAAAACATGTTTGTCCAAATAACTACAATACACAAGTGCTGGTCAAAAGTCTGTTTTACATAACAGAGAAATGAGAGAAAGAATTTCTGATTCTCGAAAAAATGTTGAAAATCAACAGTTACCCTCCAAAATTCATTGACAAATAAGGAAAATGTGAAAGGTCGAATTCCAAAAATACTACAGCGGAAAAGTCTATCTCTGTTGAACTAGATTTTAAAGGTGATAGATAAAAATATTGCAGGAGTAATCAACAGAAGATTGGATACCCTACAAACCAGAAGCTATCCTGCAGCTAAGTTGGTTCCCGTGTATCGGACAACGTGCTCTTTGGTGCAATCAAACGTCTACAGACACCTTTCTTATGTTAACTCTAACTGTATATACAAATTTACATGTATCCAAAGCAGCTGGTTATAAGATAGGCATCATGAAACCCTTGGAAATTACCAGTAGACAAAACACTTCAATTCTCCACAAGTTGGTCGAAGCAATGGTTATCAAACGTCTAAAAAACGATTTCTGCAGACTAAGAAGCAGTTATTAGTTTCTCCTTGCCCTGGTAACTGGATGTCTTTACTCTATCTCTCTCTCTCTCTTCCTTTCTGCCTTTCATTTGATTACATTATCTTTGGCTTTAACCTGTCCGCAGTTCGTCATAGTGTAATCTTACTTATCTCTTGTTTATACGATTTGAATTCAAATCACCACATTGTTACTTAATTTATTAGTTATCTTATCCACTATCTCTTGTATTTATTGCATAACTATTTTGCCATTGTATCCAAGCGTCCTTTTTGGCTTGAAGTTTCTGTGTATAAGCTACATAAGTGTAATTTATAAGCATTGTTTATTATATTTGCAGTCTCTTGTCAATAATTGACATGATTGTTCTGTCCGTAAACTGACGATAAAGAAGCCGACAAAATAAACAGATAGTCCCATTTCATTCCGTACGCACCGTTGTTCTTGTTTTATTCAAAAGCATATCATGGAAATCAATAGATGGAAAAGTGAATTGTCATAAAATTTAAAAGTGACTTAGGAGTATTATACACATTTTAATGTGAGCCATTGAGTCAGGTCTCAGTGGCTGAATGGAATACGAGCTCGCCTTGTAACCGGAAGGTCCTGGGTTCGAATCCCAGTGGGTGAGTACTGCTGATGATTCCCAAACTAGGATGAAACAGCTGTCCAGTACTCCGGTGCTGGTTTTCAATGGTTCTCTAACTGATATCAATCCGTGGTCAACTCGTAAAAACATGTGTGTTAGGCGGAGCTATATTTACCTCTGTGTAATTAACCATTAGTTTTTTTCAATTTACTTGGGATGGATTTGAACCTGTAGATACTGAATGTCTGTCTACACACTGCTGAACTACAGTTGCATTAATTCTACAGTTAGTTACACATCACATTACTATGATTCAGTATAGGCTAGCGTTATATGTATTTCTTAGCTAGTCACTCCCTTTGGAATTACTGCTATCAGTTAGGTAGTTAATTATTTAAAAATCAGTTAACTGCAGTAGAGTTTGCACATACCAGCCTATCAACACTTCTTGTGTTAACTGATAATACTACTCAGTTGCACAGGCTGGAGCAGTCACAGTAGTCAGATTCGTACCCGAAGTCCAATGGCTGAAAGTACTATTAAAGCCATATCACCGCTTGAGTGGATTTTCACGCAAACAGAATCATACAGCCGATAGGTCCCGGTTTCGTAGCCGGGTGGTAGCACCAGATTTTACACAATTAGTGTGGCTTACATGGAAAATCTGTTCCGGATAACTGAGTTTTAAAAAAACCTGAGTTCTGTAATACGGAAAGGGGTGTTTGAAGCACCATCTGTGGCTCAACATCAGTTTCCTTCAAACATTCAGTGTATAAGCTTCACCGCTTAAGTATTGTTTAGACTAAGGAATATAGACTATAACATTCTTGTCGATGATCTAAAAATCTAAGGAGACTGATAATGAGGGACAATCAGTCCGCTTATTTAACCTTTCCAATTCTTTCACATTCAACCTCCACAAAGTACTAGAACTTTTAAGCATTATAATGGTGAAGCCTACAGCAAGAATGTGAAATAGTGAAGTGACGAAAGGAGCCACACAGGGGAGTAGTCAATACACTTTTGAAGAAATACAGAAAGCATGAGAAGACAAAAGAAACGGAAAACGAACAAATTTTATATCTGAGCTAAACATTTTTCCAAATAAACAATTCTGCTACACCGATACTACTGTGCTGTACCGTTATTGCTAATGTCTCGTTCACAGCTGCTGCTTGAATACACGTTATACAGGCTTTACATAATAGTTGTTTTTTATAGCCATAGTAGGATACGTGAAAGACTATAAATGAGTAAAAACTACCTAACTCTAAGCATCACACTAGTATTACGTCAACAAACTGCAAGGTATGCTAAACAATGATGGGTTGACTGTAGAATCATATGAGAATATAGTGGCTTCCAAAAAGCACCACAGTTCCAGACCTTGAGGCTCATCTTCAAAGAATACACCAGATGTCAGATAGATTGATAGAGAGAAAACGCTGCACTTATTCATTCATATAGAATATTCTACTTTCCTGAGGTTACAGGGAATGCAAACGAATTTCTATACAGATATCAACAGGAAAGATTTGTTTAAGGAAAACTAGCATGATAGAAGGGGAAAATGAACTAAGTTGACCAATGGAAATTATTTGCTAGTGGGTGTTGCGAGGCGAAGCACTAAGATCTCTCCAAAATACTGAATCTCTTCGAGTGAATAAACTATAGCGAATAGTGTAAAAGACCAGAGGCATCACCACGAAGTTGATTGACAGCTAAGATACGAGTTGATGCAAGACCTATGTGCATGAAAAAACACTATAATCAGCAAAAGTAACTCAATTTTTTCGGACAGAAGCACTGGAAAAATGATTATACTTACTCTATCAGAATCAATAACGTCCATGATTTGTTCTTTCAAATGTTTGGTGAAAACTGTACATGTTACATCAGAGGCCTTTTTCAACAACGCAAGTTCTGCATCATCTTTAACAGCCAAAACTTCACTAATAGCACCTGAGACATCCACCAATTGGAAGTTTTCCTCTCGTAGAGAAGCGGAGAACGATTCAGTTAACTCCGATACAAACTTGTCCTTCGCCAAATGACCCACTTTCCCACTCTTGCCACTTATCTTTAAGTAATCGATAAGCTTTTTAATGCCTGCCTTATCTTTGTCAGCCTAAGCCAAATAAAATTTAAGACTTCACTTACCGGGTTCCTGGGTATAAGAACCACTGTGTGTTTACCGAACTGACGATTTTCCAGGGGATGTAAGAAATCCAGTTTCTTTTTGCCACACAATACAACCATTGACTGTTTATTTAACACAATGATTGTATCTTGCAGTTCGTATCCAAAAAGCCACATCTACATATAATATTAAGAAAAGTTCAGAATTTACATGTAGTGACAAAGTTTTCCCATACACACTGTCAACTTTTCCTGCTGGGAGCGCTATAGATTCTACATCATGCAATTGACTTTTTGGATCCTAAAGAGTGCATTTTCTTATTTGGAAATTTTTTCGAATTACCTCCCAGTCTGCATACAATTTAGTGAATCGCCTTTCGAATGACTCTATATCTAAGTTCAAAGCGCACATTGTAGCGCAATTCTGAAATTCCAAATTCCCGCTCAGCTTACCTCAATTTCCAATGCTCCAATGACAACGTAGTAAACAAAAATATGGCTTATATACAGAAATAGAATATAAAATTCCCAAAATTGACAGTCGATTTTTCGTTTTGGTAAGTGGATTAACACTATTCATAGACTCAGAATTAGAAAAGGGAGTGAATTTTACACGTTCTCGTTAACTTCGACTTCTATAGTGTGTTATACACTACAAAAGCCTATTGATAACTTTTACCCGGGTTAATATATTTGAAGTTAGTTATTTTTGTGAGTTATGAACCTAACCAGACGTTAATACTACTATGGAAACATGGCTCACATCCTATGTCGGTGGCACAGTGGTTAGGACTCTCGCCGACCATGCACATGGTCCGGGGTTCGATCCCCCTCCGACGCACACCCGATATCGATGGTCGGCCTGAGAAATTTGGGCAACCGATATCCATGCTGAAAATTCCACACTTGTACTGAAAATACGGTGTGGAATCAAGCTGTAAATCAAAAATAATAAAAAATAAAATGTCAGAGACAGTGAAGTTAATCTCCCAAACTTCAAGGTGCATAGGGCAGAGAGACTAAGCCACAAAGAGGTGATGTAATCATATGCCTCAAGAACTGCCTACCCTTACGCAGCATGGAGGACTGAAATGCAAAGGAAAAGATGTCGATTTCATAGCAATACATCGTAGAACCGATTGCAATGCAGAGGACTTTCCACTAAAGAAACTAGGCTCATGGATGCCTAAATTTCACAGTCTTGTAGTATGTGACGTCAGTTCTCTGAAGGCTGACTAGCCATTTAACACCGTCTCTAGACAACCCTCTTGATTATAAACTTATTGAATCTAATATTTAATGAGCTCTAGAACATGTCACGAATTACACACAACCAGACTCACAGCACTCCACCCCTGACCTTGGGTCTGTTTTTCTCCTATGGGAAGGATGAGTATGTCGTACGATATCTTCAACCCCCCAGGAATTGCCCACTCTGTGCTCACTTTCCAGTTCACAGCCACAGGAGTGTCATGGGCCATAATACGAGCCCATACAAACTCTTGAAAGGAGGCGACCATATGGCATATCCGTTTTTGGTGTGTCACCACCCGCTGTGTCATATCGCCATTTTCGCTGTTTGATGGTTCAAATTTGAACTAGATTGCGTTGTTCGGCTCAACTAGATGCAGTTGATGTGATTTTAGTGCTTATTTGTTTCTTCTTTGACGAAGTCGTCTAAGAATTGTTGAAGGTAATGCAGTAACTCATCAGAGATGACAGTGAGAAGTGGTCGCGCTATGTCGCGAATTTGCAGAAGTTAGAATTCATGGGCCATTGGTTTGGGTCCCAGTGGCTTAATGGTTTATGAGCTCGCCTTGCACCCAGAAGGTGATGAGCTTCAATCTCGATTGGCGCGTACTGCCGAAGGGTCCCAAACTGGGACAAAACGGCTGCGTAGTAATACCAGGTTTTACAATGGTTCCCTAACTGATGTCAGATCATGATAAAACCCTCCAACCAATCAAACAAAGCTAATACTTAAAAATTGTTTTTAATTATGGTTCTTGAGTTCGTAAGGTTCATTTGTGCTGCGGGACGCTTAAATATATGTTTCATCCGATGGTTATCTCGTAAACTGAGTGAGCTTTGAGTAAATTTTGGTGATTGGTTTTTGGAAAATTTCCCTACAGTTTCGTGGCAACCGGTACTTGGTTGTGAATCTTCCCATAAGCTTTTGTGCACCACCTATTTCTGTTGCAAAAACCTAAGAGTATCGTTGATATCGAATCCATGCTTCTCCACTTTTTGTGGTGTCTTGATTGCTAAAACTCAATGGAATCCACAGATTCAGGAAAATTTGAATGTTCATATTTGGGCAGAAATTGCATTATGTTCTATAAGTACTTGCAACTTTCACTGTTCTCTCCCAAAAATTTTAACTGGATTAAGTGCACACTACAACATATTCTAGTAATTCTCTGGGTTTGAATTACTTAAACATCGTCGTGACCAGGTACGTAAAGACATTTAAGGTACGTGTCGTTTTGTTTGCTTTCACTAACTTCCCGCTTTTTGCTATTATCCTGAAGCTTCATTATGTGCGCTTGTACAACGACAATTCGTAGAATTATGTTGGAATCATAAAGACGTAGTGCCCACCCATTTATAAAACCATGGACGTAAAGTTTAGAAACACTTACTATATGCACAAGTGTGAAAAATGTTGACTTATGCCATCGCAGACTGATATAAAGAGTGAGGGTGGCGCATGCTGACCAGTAGATATGGTGGTGGACACTAAGGTGAATCGCCCCATTCTGCAGGAACAGCAATATGCAATTTGACGGCTCAAGATTTCTATGAGGGCCTGAATCTTTATCTTGAAAAAGATAATAATGATCGCCTAGACAGATCATGCTTCTGCCTTTAAACATATACCGTTCGGTCAGCCTATTGCTGAGATACGACCACGTGGGCTCTGCACAGATTTATGGGGCATCTTATAAATTAACATGCTTTCCTTTGTCGTATCTTCGCACATCACTTCACAATGTTTCATCTCATTCATTTTTTAATAAAGTCGTCACTTGCTCATTACATTCCACTAAACCTAATATTTTATAGCTCTTCATGAATTTGATTCGATTTATTTTATTCCTATTCTCTAAAGGGTACGGTTGTTCACTAAATATACAAAAAGGTATGAAATAAAAACAACCGGCTTGTGCGTCGGTGGCACAGTGGTTAGGACTCTCGCCGACCATGCACATGGTCCGGGGTTCGATCCCCCTCCGACGCACACCCGATATCGATGGTCGGCCTGAGAAATTTGGGCTACCGACATCCACGCTGAAAATACCATACTTGTACTGAAAATACGGTGTGGCATCAAGCTGTAATAAAAAATATAAATAATTGTATTAAAACCAAAAGTAGACATCATGATATCAAGACCTACATGGTTAGCATTATACATTGCAAATGAACTTTGTCAGCATAGGGATTATAGTCTCCCATTGTATTTCCTTTATGAATGCATCTAATAATAATAATAGTATATTCTCATTTTTTGTACATGAGGGACGCCAGTTTACAGGCATCATCAATTCGAAAAATCACACATACGCGGACGGATTTGTCAGAACCGTTACGATAAAAACGAGAAACGGCGAGGTGAAGCACGATATACGTAAGATATGCCTACTAGAGGGAAGTCATTTGTAAGAGAGCCGGGCACGAGGGTTATTCTGTGTAACATGATTCATAAAATCCTAGTCGGATTTTGGGGGCCGGTGTAAGATCAATTCAATTCCCATCCTTGAATCAAGTCAACCTGTCCCGGATCAGCCTAGCATTGTTGCAACACAATTATCCATGCCTAACGTGTTTATCCCACCTTGCTTAATGAACTGTGTGTGTGTTTTTACTTAGATCTGTTTAGTCAGACACTTGAACTCATAACCCAGTCAGAGTATTTTTGTGAACTGTTATTTTGCTCACCCATGTCTTATTTTGTACTATTCTGTTGATTTGTCTTATTTATTGATTGGTTAAGTAGCCAATTAAATTCTATCTTTTGTGCCTATGCTTTGTCTACCTCTCACTTGGGTTCATTCTTCTACTGACTGCCTACCTGAACGGTCGTGTCTGATCCGGCTAGTTCGTAATTTTGGCTTTAACGTTATTCCGCTCTGATAGCGGTTCCTTGCTTTCTGTTAAGCATTGTGTATTGTACTCTTGAAACCGTTAAGGTTTGTTGTATATATATTTATTGATTTGTTAATTAATAGTACCGTAGAAACAGTGACCGGCTTCTTGTTTGTTCTGGACCGGGATAGCCTTTATCTACGCGTGACTTAATTTCAGGCGATATTGCGCTTACAGTACTTAACGCTCAAAGCCGGAAAAGACCGTACTGAACTGGTCAGTACTTAACGTATAGAGTTAAGGTTTGCTGGATCAGCCCTTGACGGAAGAGACTGTACTGAACTGGTCAGTACTTGACGTCAAACAGAAAAGACCGTGCTGAACTGGTCGGTACTCAACGTCAATTAGAAAATCGCGTACTGAACTGGTCAGTATTGAACGTTCATACAGAAGAAACTGTGGTGAATTGGCAGAACGCGACGTTGTTGAAAATACATTTTCCTTGGAACAATGCAAACTAGATCAGGGAAGCGAATTTCGGAGCAGCAGTCGGAGAGTCAGCAAGTCTCTGTTTGTATAAATTATCATGTTGATAATCTTTCGTGCCCCGGCTCTCATGTCAGTAGTTCGAAACCATCATTATCGCGAGTAACTAGTGCTAAGTCGTCGCTACTAATGGCGCAGCTAAAAGAGAAACAACTTCGACAGGAGTTGGAGTTAGAGTTAAAGGAAAAGTTGCTGAAGGCTAGACATGATGTCGAAATGGCCGAGCTGCTTGTGAAGTTAGCCGTGGACGACAAACGGAACATTGGAAATACGAAAAGAGGCACTGTCAACCACGCTCGAATCAGCGAAGATAGTATCAAAGACGACATCAGAAGGCCATATGAAGCTGAGTTTAGGGATACTGAAGAAAACGAACACTCATTTTCTATCGAAGATCGTAAGGCAAGCGAGTTGGTTACTCAAAGCACCGTCTTAGAAAAGGGGCATTACATCATTCCCTTGCCATGGAAAGATCCAGCAAAGGTAACGGACAATAATTATGTAGTCACCACAAATCGGTTACTCAGTCTGAAACGGAGGTTTTCGCGTGACAAGAACCTTTTAGCACGATATGTGTATGGGATAAATACGATGTTAAAAAATGGTTATGCCCTTCCGGTACCCCCAGAGCAGCTAGCAGCCAACTATCGCCCGAGTTGGTATCTTCCACATCATCCCGTAAAGAAACCGAAAAAGCCAGATAAACTGAGAATAGTTCTAGATTGCGTCGCAACCTGTAGAGGCTATTCTTTGAACAATAGGCTATATGAAGGACCTGATACGATTGCCGAGCTTGTTGG